ACTTCTGATGCCACGTTTTCTAGTCTCACTTCCTCAGTATGCATTTGATAATCCCAGGAACATCCATTTGGATGGTGGTCCTGCAGTTACTGCAAAGGAAACCTAAAACTGGGCAACCACATTTGGGTTACTTTGGGATTTCAGTGCCCCAACCACCCCCAAAGAAGTGGGGTTGTGGTCTGGGAGAATGCTGAGGTTAAATGATTATTAACCAAGTTACTAGTTGCTTGCCCCACACAGTGGTATCTATTTATTCCTATGGTACAGATGAGCATTCACAACATACCTGATGATACAAATGGTGAGACACCATATGAAATATTACATGTTTTTCACTGACAAACATATTTCTGCATCAGGGAGAGCTTAGAACCATTGGTTCTATTAGAGAAATTTAGGGAATTTTTTTTTCCAGCCCACCTCGCCTTGCACCACCAACTTTTTCCTACTGTTGGCCAGTTTGTCCTGGAGAGGGTGACTCTGAGAACTTTTACTACAGAGAACAATCAGAGCCAACAGAGAACAGTGAATGCTGTTAAAGATGACAAGATAAAACAAACAGAGTACGACAGAAATGCCACCAGAATCATAGCCACGTAACAGACTGAATCATGATCTGACATCTGAACCTGCAAATGTGAAGGAGAAGGATGAACAGACAGACGTGATACATTCACAGTTAACATGGAATGTATGAAAAGTGAATCATCAACATCATTATAAGAAAGACTCAGAAAAAACAGAGAAAACAGAAGCAAAAGGATGCTAGAAAATTGGTTATGGCACTCCTTCTTACAATCTGCAGCATTATCATAACATCAACCCTAGCTGTCGTTTTAAAACTGCATTGGGATTATGTTAACAAGCAGGAAGCACCTGAACTGAATTGGACTGCACACTATACAAGTTCTGTGATCGTGAGGACTACCTCCAAGAATTATCTCAAAAGGAGAGACACAGCTCACAGTGAAATGATTGCCTACACTGGTATTTCACAAGGAACCTATTGAGATCATTCTAAAAACCGATTATACCTGAGAAAGATGTGATTGGACTATTACAAATCCTAATAATGGACTCTACGATGATGGCAAAGCATGCTGAAATCAGGAAAAGACGGGACAGATGCTTGTGAAAGACTTGGGTGCACCTATGAAGGTGATTAAGAAAAGACTTTGCCATATAGTTTTTCATTGAGTGACTACCGCAAACAGCCTTCTTATGCTGAAAAGAAGTGCTATGCTAATTCTGGACATTGCTATTATGTTTCCAGACAGAAGATGATCAGAAAAAGAAATAAAGGCTGATAACTGTTGACACCTAGCTGTTTCTCAAGATGGAAAATGGTACTGAGAAAACCTGATTGACTATCAAAGCACCTCACAGTACAAGACACAGATTGTTGCCTACAACTCATAAAAAGTGGTTAATAGGAAGGAGCAGAAGAAGGAAAACTGATTTCCAACTGGAGTGAAAAAAACATCCTGGAACAATATTCTGTAACAATGAACTTTACAATGACATTTGGTGGCATATGAATTTGAATTTGGTAGAAACACATTAATTAACGAAAGAAACCTTGATGCAATTAATAAATAATAACAAGACCGGCTTACTAAGAGCAGATGCTCTGCCAAGAGAATGGAATATTAAAGGCCAGCAAAATCTTTCAGAAACCTGACGTCACGGGACACTTGTACTAAAGCACGATTTGCAGCTTTTCTTAAACTCTACATATTATGTACCTACCTGCAAAGCAAGGAACTCCTGTAAACATAAACATAGAGACATTGATATAACAAGGAATCTGTAATTGTTCTGTTGCTGATGTGATCTACCGATGTACTCCTTGCTCTTTTGGTATAACTATACCAATCAAAACGTTAAATGGCTCCATAGAATCAAACGACAACAGATTCTTGCTATATTCTGGACTTCCAGGAATATGGTGCATGGACCGAAAATTATAATTACTAAAGCAATCATGCTATTTTTTTCCCTGTATCAGAAATGTGTCAGTGACAATGTGTAATATAATAGAGGTACTATAATTAATGGTATAAGAAACACATAATGTGTTAATTACAAAGGTGGATAGACTTTGTGAATATCTGAAACGCAATTGAAGATTATTGCTAAAATGCCATATGCAGCTGCAGTCTGGCCTACAAACAAATATATTAGACATACGTATAAGAGCATAACAGCTAATTACCCAGATGAATAATTGAATCATGATAGTTAAAGATCATATGATTGCAATAACAACTGCAATAATGAATAATGTTTAAACTTTAGAAGAAAATATAAAATGTTTTTATTAAATCAGAAACTATTCTATATTTGTTTAAGTTTGCAGAGTGGTATAATTAATATAAGTGAAGTACTTCAACAGTTAAAATTTAACTGAAAGACAGGCAGAAACTTTACTTCAACTAGCATAAAGTTTATTTATAATGATAAACATATTCAGTCTGACAGAGATAAGGCCAGTCAATGGAAAGTAAAAGAGTATCGTGGATTAACCCGTCCAGGTGATATACATGATTTTGGAAATTAATAATTTAGGTCACCTATTGCAAACTGGTGAAAAGATGTCAAAGATATAAATTCAACATCCATACCACTCTATGTATATATATATTAAAATACACGTAATCCAATATTTTATCAGTTTTTCAAATACAAAGAAAATGTTATTTGGTTTGCAATGGTTAAAGGTACATAAAACCACCTATACAAAGGTAGAGCTAAAATATAAATACATTCAATATTGTATCGGAGTGCTTTCTTAACTCACTTTTAGAAATAATAATCCATTCTAATCATCTTAAACTACATCCAACAGCCACTGAAAAATATACTTAAACAATTAAGATTCGCATTGTTAAGCATCCAATCTCACGAATGTAACTTTCCACAATGGCTGTCAGATCTTGGTTAAAAAAAAAAAAAAAAAATGTTTTCTAAGACAATATTTGGGGGTTTCTGGTATTTTAAGCCACTAATAACTGTAGTTATTATATTTAATAATAATAAATAGGGAATAAGTTGTCTTCTCCCTAACAGGTCTGTAGCGGATGGCCCTGTGCTGTCCTGAGCAATTTATGTACTTCTATGCATTCGTATGAAAATGGCAGTCTATGTATTTGATGTATTGGATTTGTCTGAATGTTAGGTAGTTTCATTCCCTTCGTTTGTTCGAATGAAACTACCGAACAGTCAGACCTCCCCTGTGTGAAGTGTGTTCTCAATTACCAGTTGCAACATTGTTGCGAACGGGTAATTGGCAAGTGAAGTAGCCGTCCTTTGTTCTCGGGGGTGGCCGTCATTCGACAAACGAACACGTGGCGGCGGCCATTTTAAAACTCCCGAACAGCGGTGTTTTGCCGTCGAGTGTCTGGAACTCAAATCGGACACTCGACTAGGCGAACACCGCTGAAACCTCCACAAGCCCAGTCCGTTCGGTTCCTAACTACCGAACAGCCCCTCGTTTGGTAGATAGAACCGAACGAGGGGATTCAGGCGAACCCTCCCTAGCCTCTATAGCTAGAGGCTTTCGTGCAGTTTGTTCCCTTACTCCATGACCGACCGCAGGGCCCATTCGCATGGAACCGCATTCGGCTGTCTTAGTCAGTACGGTCGGTCATTTTATTCCCTCCATAAATTTCCCGAACCCCTGGTCTGATCTGTGTGATTTTTGGATATGTTGTTCACCCAGATCAGGGCTATCAGGGGGTGTAGGATTTAAAGAGGTACCCCTACATTTAGGGGTACATCCAGAAACGGGGGGAATTGCTAGATTGGATAAGGGGATTATGATGCAGGCTGAGGGGAGGAGATGTGTGGGAGGTTACCAGGACAGGATTGACTACTGTACTAATGATTGTAAATCCCTCCCTTGCATGGGAGCATGCTTTAAAAGGACAGTATGGATTAAAGATTTCAGTTCTGCTCCTGAAACTGTGTGTCGTCCAGTTATTGGGATTGCTGTTGGGATATTGCTGTTATTTTACCTGCTGGAAACCTTGCCTGTGGATTTACTATTTACTTGTTCCTGAGCCTCACTTGGATTATAAGCGGAGATAACCTGGGGAATATTGCATCTCCGCTACAAGGTCAAAGAAAGATAATTAACGTCATATTTCCAATTAGCAACTATTCTAAATATATTGAGAGATTTTGAATAAAGGAGTATTTTTAACATTTAAAGAGAATGTAATTTTACATACCATTGTGAACAAAGGCGGTAAATACTTTGCTGCTTCAAATTATCCTTATATTTCTAATATCATATACAAGGGTGTTTATCTTTAAAACAAAACACTAGAAAGATTAACTATGCTATTATTTCATCCATCATTATTATACAAAGTATAACAAATGTAAAGATTTTTCCACAGATTTTACCTGTTAACATTTTTAGCACAACAGCACCTGATGTCAGTGAGATGTCTATCACTGAGATGTTACAAAGATTCCAATACAACAAAAAGAGCCGTTCTTGAGAATCCGCTTCGATTGCTGTATCAACATAACATTTACTATAACGGGATGCATGTCACTTAAGACAATGTCTTGGAAATGCTGTCAATTAATTGATTCCGAAAAGAATATCGGAGAGTATCCCATCTATACACATCATAAACAGTGGAAAAATGTTTCATGGAAAAAACAAAAAGCAAACAAGCAAAGACAAATACCAATGCCATCACCACGGTGATAACAGATGATGCTGATTCAATATCTGCAACCAATTCTATCCAAATACTTGGAAAGCTGGACTCTACAACCTATACTCTACAACAAATACCCGGGTATTCTACAAACACAACCTCCAGCAATGTATATAAGGAATGTAAACTTCTACAGGCCTTTAAAGACTTTGGATTACAAATACAGTTACTATTTTTAACTTTGGATTACAATTCGTATCCGGATCTATCCAAGAATATCTTACTCTGGAACTTGGTGTTCTTTTTAATTCTTTCCCAGACAAAAGCTTTGCTCATTTTAATCAACCACCTTTACAGGCAAAGATCACACTACGGATATTTTACTGTTACAACAATGATCTAAGATGCTGGGAGCATAAAAAACCTAAAGACAGTTGGAGAACTTTGGTTTACTAATTTAAGGAAGAAATGCGCTACAATGCCCACAGTTTAATGGAGAGGGTGTTATGGGCAAATGCAAATATTACAAGTTTTAGAATGAAATGTTGTATTTCTTAAACTGTGTACTTTGTCTTTAAGAGATATTGCAAACTGACAAGGTGTTAGAAATGGAATGTTTTTCATAACTGTTTCTTTAAGCAATAACCTCAGTGCACAATATGTTTGCGCCATTTTGTCCCAGACGAATTACAATAACAATAATGCATAAACAAGCTTCAAGGCTATGCTACGACTCTTGCAGTACACAATATACTATGGTAACCCCAAGTTAATGGAACTTCCCCAAATCCGGGAATCTCCCACGACTGTACACTTACGACTTAGTATAAACAACAGATAACCTATTCAGACTTTAAGATGCCATCTTGAACTAAGTCAGGAAATTTTCCATGACGTATACACCCTTTAGTTATGGCCTTGTATGTTTGCCAAATTAAGGGAGGGCCTAAATTGAATAAAGTAAAAGAAGTGTTACTTTTTCATATTTGAACTACAGTAACCTAAAATGGAGACACCTAAGGTATAAATAGGTGTACTTTTAAATGTTAAGATACAGAGGAGAGACTTGGAGACAGACACTGCCCCATCTTAACCCCTTAAGACCGGAGGGCGTACTATTACGCCCTATTCTAAGCGGCTCTAAACGCTGCCAGGCGTAATAGTACGCCCTCCGGTCTTTTCCTACTTACCTGGTCGCCGGCGTGGGAGCCCCCCGCGGCACCTCCGTCCTCCTGGAAGCCCCCCGGCCATGTGAGAGTGGGGTCCTTGTGAGGACCCCACAATCACATGGCCGGGGGTAGCTGGCTGCAGCATTGCCAGCAGGGGGGCTGCCTGTAATGACAGGTGGTCCCCCTGCTGGCTGAAAATAAAAATGAATAAAATAAATAGTGTAAAAAAGAAAATAATATATACTTAGATCATATATATATATATATTATATATATATGATCTAAATATATATTTGTGTTAGGTGCTTAAGATAGTACAGTGTGAAATACCATGAATAAGCGTAGGATGATAAAAGGAGCAAGTCGGTTGTGGTGTGCCGAAACCGAAGATGAGGTAGGCCTGAGAAAGAAGAGGGCCCACCCAGGAAAAGAAATAGAAAGGAAAATAAATGTTAAAAGTGGTGTGGTGGGAGGGTCATTCAACGCTGACCTCGAACTGTAAGGAGCCAGGCAAGGGGAGTGCCTTAAGTAGGCTAGGGGTAGAAAACCAGCACCTCCCACAAATGCAGGCAAATTGCCTTAATACTTGTGTTAGGTGCTTAAGATAGTACAGTGTGAAATACCATGAATAAGCGTAGGATGATAAAAGGAGCAAGTCGGTTGTGGTGTGTCGAAACCGACGATGAGGTAGGCCTGAGAAAGAAGAGGGCAAAAATTAAGTAATCCAATTTATTAACAGACAACCAATACATATACATTTATCAACCAGACATGTTTATGAAAGCATCTCTTAACTCTTGTACTGGGTTCGGTATGTACCGTGAGTAAGCGATGACTTCCAGCGCCCCAGTGTTTTGATAACATGAGTTGGGACGTTGAAACTGGAGGCTGTGGACGCGGCTCCTATACGAAAGGAGTGTCCTGAGTAATTGTTTGCGTTGAGGCCCAGTTGTGTGAGCAAGGACCTGACGTAGGTCATGAAGGTTGTAGTGGTGAGTACTGCACCTTGTAGTTGTAATAACGGTTGCGAGGGCAGTAAGTGATGGTGCTGTATGTAGGCATCAAGAACTTTTACGGGACACCATCTGTTGTGCGTGGGGTAGTACGGAATGTTTACAGGTATGTGCTGGCTGGTTTTGGAGTGAGGTAAAGACAGGATGTAATGATCCATATGTTTTGTCAAGTGGGAATAGAGGAGGAATGGAGTGGTTTGGGTCGTGGAGGTCGTAGTGAATTCTCTGGGTCGTAGAAATCCATAGAAAGCGATGTATATTGCTGTTTTGATGATAGAATTCGTATTAGTGTCAAACGGTTTTAGGTCGAGTAGGTTAGATAATCCTTTGAAGATATGGTTATCTATGGGTAGCCTCTGGGCCAAATGTGTGGGTTCTGATTTTGAATACCTCTGAGTATGGTCTTAATTTGGTGAGAGGCCATGAAACTGTTGTTATTTGGGTGTAAGATGAGCATGTGGTGTTGAATGCCAGTGAGATAGAGTTTGATGGTGTTATATGACAATTTGAGTTTAAGGTGGCAAAAGGAAGCAAACCCCAAAAAAGATGTCATAACAAACGGTTGTATGATGTTATGTTCCAGAAGGAATCGTTTGAATAGTGTGAAAGCCCTGTTGTATGTTTTGTTTGTATTGTGTGAAAGTGCCAACTGAACAATGTCCTGCTATGCTGCATGATGACGTCTAGTCCAGTATGAGTTGTTGAAATGTTGGAGTGATGGTGGCTGTGGGTGCTGCTGACGGGAGTGCTTGATGAAACTCCTGAAATTTAAAGCGAGACAAACTGTCAGCAGCTGTGTTGTATACACCTGGCACATGGAAACAACATAGGAAGAAATTATGACAAGCTGCCAACCAAGTGAGTTTCCTCAGAAATCTCATAATCGTAAGAGATTTGGAACGACCTTGTTGATGATGTGACAGGTCGCCTGGTTGTCTGAGTAACAACGCACTGGCGTATTAGCCCATAAATGACCCCACGCTACGGCAGCCGCCACTATGGGGTAGATCTCAAAAAGAGCTGAGGTAGTGGAAAAACCTTCCAAATCCAGAACTGCTGAAGGCCAGCTGCCCCAAAGCCATTCGCTCCCAAAAATTGCTGCAAAACCAGTGGTAGATGCCGCATCTGACCAAATGGTAGGAGATGATTCAGTCAATTGAGGGAGGAACATACTTTTACCATTCCAAGTGGTTAAAACCTCTTCCACATGTTTAGATCTGCCGTAGCTTGGGCATCTAAGGACAACCTGTGCGTGTCATGTAGAAAAAGTGGAAAAAGATGCAATAGTCGTGAAATAAAGGAGCGGCCTTGAGGTATTGCAAAATTTAGTGACCCCAGCAGGGACTGTAGTTCTTTGCGGTTGCAAGTGCCGAGCTGTAGGTAGTTGTTTATGTAAGTGAGAATATTGTCTATCTTTTCGTAAGGTAGGCTTGTTTGCATTGTGGCAGAGTCTAACTGGATACCCAGAAAAGTGATAACCGTGTCTGGCCCTTCTGTTTTCTTTGGGGAGATGGGTACACCTAGTTGCTCAAACAGCTTAGTGGTAGCTTTGAGGCTAGTGGGAGGTGCAGTATTCTCCTTGACCAGTAGGAAATTGTCCAAGTAATGTAATACTGTAGGGCAGCCGGCTATGTTCAATAGTAACCAGCATAATGCTTCGGCAAATGTGTCGAAAATAGCTGGGCTACTTTTGGACCCAAAAGTTAACCGGGAGAAAAAATAGTAGTTCTCGGACCACTTGATGCCATGCAGGTGCCACAGTGTGGGGTGGATAGGGAGTAATTTGAAGGCGTTAGTAATGTCGGTCTTACTGAGCCAGGCTCCCACCCCTGCTTGTATGATGGCTGTAATGGCGTGATCTATGGTGGTGTATTGCAGAGAGAATTCCTCAGAGGGTATGAGGGAATTAAGACTGGGGTTGGCCGATGAGTGGGGAGCCGATAAGTCAATGATGAGTCTCTGTTTTTGGGAAGATTTCCCTGTGACAATACCAATAGTGTTGGTGCGCCATTCTGTGAATGGAGGAGTTCTAAAAGGCCCCAATACAAAGCCCTCATCCACTTCTTGAGGGTGTCAACCACTGTGGGGTTGTGTTGGGCGGATTGTAGGTTAGGGCATTCCAGAGTTCCAAGGCTTGGAATACATTTTATTTGTACACATGTTCTTTGCATGTGCCCTAAAACATTTTGAACAGACATGCAATAGTCTACATCCACTGTAATTACAAGACCCAACATTGAAATTATTACATATCTGGGACTTGCCCAGAAACTTGATTGGGCGTCCCAATTTGTCTTTGGATAGTTTCCCTGGATCCCCAGAGGAACTAGTTCCTTGTGTGGAGGCATGTCCGTCTGCCGTGTTGGGACAAAAATTAGTAGTATGGGCTGTGGAGGAGCAGTATGCACAAGCTGGTGTTCTTAGACCTGCAAAGTGTCTGCAAAATAAGACGGTATCAATCCTTCCCCAGTTGGATCGTGTTCCGTACTGGGAGAAGGCTCCAGCCACTTTTGCAGAAAAAGACCTATGGTAGTCATAGAATGCCGAACCACCATATTTGTTGCCCAGGTCTACCAGCTTGTGCATATAGAGATCAAACTCCTCTCTTCTGTTGGGATAAACCGCACAGATGACATCCCTGTAAATACCAAACGCTAGTACAAATTCTGGGATAGTCAGTTTTCTGTTCAGGCGGGCATCCCTAGATCTGACAATAACAGAAACATCATCATAAGCATACGTCTTATGTTCCACAATGTCCTGGGAGGCAATCAACAGGGAAGCCAGGTTGACGTCTTTACCTTCCAGGATATCCCTTTTGATATGCTCAGGTATCATGTTGGCCGGGCTAACTTCCTGGTCATCCAGGGTGCTGGCTGGGGCGACTAATGGCAAGGCTGGTGTTTGTACCGCAGCCGCGGGTGGCCCTGCTAGAGTGAGGGCCGTGGTGACCGACTCAAGTTTCTCCAGCCTGGAGTTGACCTTGCCCATGGATGTCATGAGTGAAGATAACATGATAAAAGTGGTAAGCAGTAAAAATAAGCAAAAACAGAAATTTCATAAATTTTAAAGATATTGGTGAAAAAAATACCTAAAAAATACACCATATTAGATACGCCAGGATGTCTACACTTGGTAGATAACTCAGTCTGTCCTAATTCCAAATTTTAAAACTAATATGCACCTATGAGTGTATGTGTCACAATAACAACCTTTTTTTTCATCCCATTAAAGCAACACTCTGGGCACCATAGCAATTTAATAAGATTTAATAAGTTGTTATGGTGCCAGGGGGTCCGCAACACCGGGTTTCCATTGGGGGTTAAACCATTAACGAACGATTTCACTCCAAAGTGTTGAATTCGGCTCTGAATTGCACATCTACTTCCACATCTATTCGAGACTTCACACACATATCAAATGAAAATCTCACAGTGAATACAAATAATAATAATAAAGATGAAGATTACAGACGAACATAATTGGTAGGGTTTTTTAAGATGAACTCTGAGGATTTCCCGTTGTAGTTAAACAGGGCTTTCAAGCAGAGCTCAATCATAAGACTGCTAGTACCATAATCACTCCAATAAGCCGAAGTGGTGGTGGTGCCTAAAGTATCCTTTAAAGGTGATTTTTTTTTTTAACCCATAATGTTTTGTAACTATAATGTAACAATACTGCTGTGCTGTTAGCTTTGCTTAGTAAGTCACTAAAATTGTATCTCCACAACACCCATTACCCAGCTTCTACTATTTTCACCGTAGTGTAAAAAGGGGAAGTGGGCATGTTTCTGCCTTCACAGCTAAAACTCACTTATTTTTGCAATAACTTCCTCGGTCCTATGTAACTCTTCTCTTAGCTCATCTTTGTTTAGCCATGCCAGGATGCCTCTTGCTGTAGATAGCAATGTCCAGCTTCTCATTAGGTCGGACAGTCCCTGTTAATGTAATCACATGGTCTGGAAATGAAGAGGAGACTGTCTCAGGTACTAGGGTTAAATAGATTCAGTTAATATTAGTCATAGCTTATTTATAAAATTGTAGTTCCTATTCTATAGGATTGTACGTTTTTATATATCATGAGTGTTTGACCATAGTACTACATATGTTGTATGAATAACACTTCTTGTAAGATGGGCTGGAAAAGCATTATGGGAACAACAGCTTAATGGACTGATTGGATGCCACAGGTATATGTAGCCTTTTGATAATTATTGTACTTGTGTGTTTTGTTTATTTTTCCATTTGTCTGTCAGTGAGGACATTATTAATTTGAGTAAACAGATCACCATTTTTTTATGATACATGTTTTCCAATAATTTATTTTTATTTTATTTTTGTTCTATTTCTGTTCCTTACAACATACTATTTTTTTTGGTTATCACTGACTGTATATATATATATATATATAGAGAGAGAGAGAGAGAGAGAGAGAGAGAGAGAGAGTCACGCAGTGTTGAAAACAAAATTATGGTATATTTTTGGACCTGAAAAATCAATTTCAGCCATGCTATCATAAAGGTTTAAGATTTTAAATGTTAGTGCTATTTTTTTCACTCGGTAGTGGAGGAAACATCTGTGGTAGAAATTGTTTTGTGGTTAAGCCTCACGGGGCTTTAATAATGCATCTCAATGTCTGTTGTATAGACTTTGTAGTTGCCGGCAGTTATGCACATTACTGTCCTAATGTGTTAGAGCCAGAATTTGTGGAATAAATGTATAACAGCCATCTGAGCTCCTCCAGTCAAATGCCTGCTATCAGTTCTATTCAGTCAGGAAAACAAAGCGCCTCTAGTGGTTGTCAGGAAGATAGTACATTTATTAAGAGGACAGTGAATTTTACATTTTTGGCCTTAAATTGTAAATTTACTTTCAATTCACTTTCGGTTCCTGACATTTCTATCTGCATTGAACAACCCTTTTAAAGTAGCACCTTAAATCAAATATAGTTCATATAGTTCTATAGTTGTTAGTTATTAAATAAATCAGTTGTAAATTGACAATTCTCTTATTTAGCTTAAAGGAATAATATAGTCACCCAGACCACTTAATTTAAATGAAATGGTCTGGGTGCAGTGGTCATGTCATTTTAACCCTACAAAGTGAAACCTTTTTAGAAACTGCAATGGTTATATCTAGATTTCCATGGGACTAGGGCCCTCAACTCCTCCTGTTTTTGTTTGTAATATTTTATGTTGTCTCTGTATTGTAAAACATGCTATTGTAGAGAAACATCATACATTTCTGATTTAGTGCCTGTCTCTGCAGTCCTCTGGAGATAAGGTAGGAGGCCATCTTGGGCCCAAGCGCACTGTGTGTTTGCCGCGGCAACTATCCTATGTTCATGCTCATCTGTGTTTTTTTTTTTTTTTTTATTGCTTTGCCTTCCGACCTATCGTGTAACTGCACGTGTAACTCGGAAATCTTATAATGTTCCTCAAATCAGGGTTATATAGCGATACAATAAGGTAGTAATTTCACGTTATATCAGAGCTCTCACTGAGTGCGTCATCCGGTCCAGCTGCTTGACTACACCCTCCCAAGCAGAATGTTTTTTAAAGATTAGCAACAGTATTTCTTTGATTTAGGACATTGCATCTATTTTTTAATTTACTGGTGAATATGAGGTTGGACCACAAGGGAATATAATTACCGTATTTTTCGCTCCATAAGACGCACTTTTTTCCCCCTCAAAAGTGAGGGGAAATGTCTGTGCATCTTATGGAGCGAATGTGAAGAATTACTTACCTGTCTTGGAGCGTGGGCCGGCTTCACAGCGCGCTCCGCGGTCCAGGAACTTCTATTTCAGGTTCCGGTTTTCGGCGGGACTGAAAGGAAGTGTGCACACTGAGTGTGCACACTTCCTTTCAGTCCCACCAGCTTCAGCCAAACACAGGGCTGCAGAAAACACTTTATAGAAAACTGTATAAAACCAAATACTTAATATAGAACAAAGGGAAGAGCACACTATAGAGACAAGAGAGAGACACTAGGAGAAAGAGAGAGAGGAAACACTATGGGGACAAGGAGGAGAACACTATAGGACAGGGAGAGGAACACTATAGGAGAAAAAGGAGAACATTATAGGAGAAAAGGAGGGAGACACTATATAGGACAAAAGAGGAGGAAGGAAACACTATAGGACAAGGAGGAGAGGAAGACACTATATAGGACAAGGGAGGGAGGGAGGAGACACACTATAGGACAGGGAGAGAGGACACTATAGGAGAAAAGGGAGAACACTATAGGACAAGGGAGAGACACACTATAGGACAAGGAGAGGGACACTATAGGACAAGGGAGGGAGGAGACACTATAGGACAGAAAGAGAGGGAGGGAGGGAACACTATGGAGGACAAGGGGGAGGAGAACACTATAAGACAGGGGAGGGGGAGGAGAACACTATAGAACAGGGGAGGGGGAAGAGAACACTATAGAACAGGGGAGGGCGAGGAGAACACTATAAAACAGGGCAGGGGGGAGGAGAACACTATAAAACAGGGCACACTATTGGACAAGGGGAGGGGGAGACACTATGGGACAAGGAGAGGGGGAGACACTATGGGACAAGGGGAGGGGGACACTATGGGACAAGGGGAGGGGGACACTATGGGAGAAGGGGAGGGGGAGACACTATGGGACAATGGCAGGGGGGGACACTATGGGAGGGAAAGTGCACTATGGGACAATGGGAGGGGAGGACACTATGGGATCAGAACACTAATGGACAAGGGGAGGAGGGGTTAAAGAACACTATGGGACAGGGTAGGAGGGGTTAACAATCACTATGGGACAGGGTAGGAGGGGTTAACAATCACTATGGGACAGAGGAAAGGGGGGTTAAAGATCATTATGGGACAGGGGAGAAAAAAAAATATTCTGAACAAACTGTCCCATGGTAAGAAACACTATGGAACAGTTTGTTTAGAATATTTTTTTTTCTGGGTTTCCTCCTCTAAAAACTAGGTGCGTCTTATAGTGAGGTGCGTCTTATGGAGCGAAAAATACGGTACTGTACCTTTATAATATTGTAAAGCGCTGTGGAATAAGTTAGTACTATATACATATAATAATAATAATAGATTTGTGATGCATTATGTGGCGGTTGATGTGGATTTTATTAGAGAGACACCTGTCTGTTCACCTGTACCTCTTTTACTAAAATATAACACTGTAGAATGTGTTGGTGTTTTATAAAGTATAATAATATTTATAATAACAAAATAAATCCACCTCTAGTTGCTTTCTTATTGACAGCCACTAGAGGCGCTTCCTTCCCAGTTCGAGTAAAGCTTTATCTGGAAATCAAATGCAGCTGATAGCATCATCTGCTTGGAGGAGTGTGACATTTGGCTGCGCATGTGTATATCCAATTCATTGCTTCTCTCTGAGAATCAATGGATTGGAGAAGATTGCAAAGACGTCAGCAGACGTGCTGATCTCTTTGAAGAAAGAGTCCCGGTGCTGGAAAAGAGGTGAGTAAACTTTATTTAATTTTTTAAACACAAAGGGGTATAATGGTTTATTATGTCATTTTCAGGACTACAGATTACCTTTAAGAATGTTTCACTTGTCTGTGTTAATGAACTGTAATATATATTTTTTATATGTGTTCTTTAAATGATAGCATGGAAATTGTATTTACAGGATTCAGAGTGCAGTAATATAGGCACAAAAAGTGTTTAACAGCTTTCAGTAGGTCTCATGCATCAGTGAACTGGATATCTTGCCAAGATTCTAAATATAGCAAATGAAAAAAAAAAATCTTGCTTTCTAAAGTATATCTTCAAGTACTTTCTACAATGAAGAAAATCTGCGAAATCGTGATCTCTTAACAAGACCATATTTCAAATGTCACTTTCCCAACTAAAGCTGTCACTAACATGGCTTGGTATCACTTCAAAGAGTATGTCAGTTGTACACAGCAGTAGCAAATGTATAGATGACCTTCTTGGACTTTTGTGCTATGTCGTCAATAGTGTTTTCAACTTCAGTGACATGCAGACATCCCACAATCCCTGCATACCTCCCAACTGTCCCTGTTTAGGAGGGGCAGTCCATATTTTGGGTCCAACTCCCCCGTCCCTCTTTTCTATCCTAATGTAACTCTTTTCATATTGTTTGTGCGCTTGAGTGGATAACAGAGATCCACATAATACTTACAGTAATGTGTCAGACTGTAAATAAGATACATTGTTTTTGTTTAAAATTGCATGAATTGTTAAAGGGACACTATAGTCACCTGAACAACTTTAGCTTAATGAAGCAGTTTTGGTGTATAGAACATGCCCCTGCAGCCTCACTGCTCAATCCTCTGCCATTTAGGAGTTAAATCCCTTTGTTTATGAACCCTAGTCACACCTCCCTGCATGTGTCTTGCACAGCCTTCCATAAACACTTCCTGTAAAGAGAGCCCTATTTAGGCTTTCTTTATTGCAAGTTCTGTTTAATTAAGATTTTCTTATCCCCTGCTATGTTAATAGCTTGCTAGACCCTGCAAGAGCCTCCTGTAGGTGATTAAAGTTCAATTTAGAGATTGAGATACAATTATTTAAGGTAAATTACATCTGTTTGAAAGTGAAACCAGTTTTTTTTTCATGCAGGCTCTGTCAATCATAGCCAGGGGAGGTGTGGCTGGGGCTGCATAAACAGAAACAAAGTGATTTAACTCCTAAATGACAGTGAATTGAGCAGTGAAATTGCAGGGGAATGATCTATACACTAAAACTGCTTTATTTAGCTAAAGTAATTTAGGTGACTATAGTTTTCCTTTAATAGTAAGTCACCTAAAATTTCAAAGAATAGCCCTACCTGTCACTCCCACTCACACCCCTAAAATAAAAAGTGTCCCTCTTTGTCCATTTGAAATGCTGGGAGGTGTGATTCTGCAAATGAAATAGTGGGGTATTGACTGTGTCATTAAGGTCTATGCTGGTTGAAATGGAAGCGTAATTGTATCTAAAACTGTAAAGTTCATATTTTAATCTGTGCATATGTTGGTGATTTCCATAGCACTGTTTGTTGACTGAACACATATGTACCAGAATGATTTAAAGGGACACAATAGTAACCAAAAAGTTTTAGCTCTTAATGAAGAAGTTTTGATATAGAGTATGACCCTGCAGTCAAACTGCTCAGCACTCTGCATCTAGGAGTGAAATCACTTTGTTTATACAGCCCTAGTCACACCTTCCTGAATGTGATGTGCACAGCCTTCTTAAACCCTTCCTCTAAAGAGTTATCTAATGTTTACACCTCATTTATTGGACTTTCTGTTTAATTTAGAATTTCTATTTAGAATCTCCTGCTCTGTTAATAGCTTGCCAGACTCTGAAGATGCCTCCTGTGTGTGATTGCAGTCCAATTTACAGTGCAGGAGATACAAACTTCTAAAGTAAATTACATCTTTTTTTTCATGCAGGCTGTGTCAGTCACAGCCAGGGAGGTGTGATTGGAGCTGCATACACAGAAACAAAAGTGATTTAACTCATTAATGGCCGAAAAAAGAAAAAATGCTCTATACACCAAAACTGCTTTATTATACTAAAGTTGTTTTGTTGACTATAGTGTCATAGTGAGACCGTAGCATCATTAAACTCACAGTATTATGCCTTTAAGTTACTGTAGATGTGTTTAGGTTTACATTTGTTTAAATAAAACACTTTATAGCTGTTCTAAATAAAATGTTCAGTACATTAATGGCCATCGATAGGCAATAAGTTCATCTACAGAAAAGCCTCACCAAATGGTTAGACTTTTAGTCCCACACCCTAGAACCATCACAGATGATGATTATTGCCTCCATATTTTGCTATAACCTAATGTTTTCATTCTTTTTACTCATCAGCAAGTGGACAAGGGGGACCTGAGTACCTTGAACCTTCCTCCCAGTGTAGCTCATGGCGGTTCAGAGGGAAACATCAGCCTGGAAGTTCCAGAGGGTGCACCGGACCCTCAACGCACCAAAGCTGCAATGGACCATCTTCACCAGAAGATCCTCAAAATTACAGAACAAATAAAGATAGAGCAAGAGGCCCGGGACGATAATGTGGCAGAGTATCTGAAACTGGCTAACAATGCAGACCGACAACAGGCCTCCCGTATTAAACAGGTACCATGGAGTTTGGCATGCTATAGCTCATTGATACTATTTAGAAATACAGCAGTATACTGTGAAAATTTAATACCTCGTAAACGAAGACCTCCTCGTTCATTCGTTTAGTTTATTACAAGGAAGGAGCTACCGGCTCGCGGCTCCCTCCTTGTAATATGTGAAATTAGAAGCTGCCTGCCACTTCCTAACTCCCCCCATGCCCCCGTCATTCTATCAGGGTCAGTATGATTAAAAACTCCCGAATGCGCCTACTCGCTATGCCTACTAAACACCCGCCACTCACTGTTCTAGAAAAAAAGCCTAGCATAGGTCCCCTATGGTGAGGAATCTACTAAAATAATTAACAGGGAGGACATGGTGTCCTTCCCCAACCGTGCCCCGTCGAGTGGGTGCTCTTCAACGGAAAGGGGAACCTAGGGTCCCCCCGTGGGGGGCCAAAAATAACAAGTGAGGGGGCCTATTGTCTCCCTCCTGCCCCTACCAATGAGCGGCAGGTGGGGCCCAAAAGTAACAAAGGGGGGAGGGACCTATTTCGGTGCCCTCGCTGGGTGAAGATGGATATTTTTTTTTGCGTCAGGTTTTTCTTTTTTCAGCGTGTTTTTTATTTTGCCCTCAGGTTTTGTTTTTTGTTTTTATAAGTTTGACAGAAATATAGATTTTTATTTGGCCTTTTAGGGGCTGAAAAATGAAGTTTAAGAAAAAAGACTTCTAATGGTAAGTATGATTTTTTTATTTACAGATACCGTATTTTTCGCTCCATAAGACGCACCTCACTATAAGACGCACCTAGTTTTTAGAGGAGGAAACCCAGAAAAAAAAATATTCTGAACAAACTGTTCCATAGTGTTTCTTACCATGGGACAGTTTGTTCAGAATATTTTTTTTTCTCCCCTGCCCCATAATGATCTTTAACCCCCCTTTCCTCTGTCCCATAGTGATTGTTAACCCCTCCTACCCTGTCCCATAGTGATTGTTAACCCCTCCTACCCTGTCCCATAGTGATTGTTAACCCCTCCTACCCTGTCCCATAGTGTTCTTTAACCCCTCCTCCCCTTGTCCATTAGTGTTCTGATCCCATAGTGTCCCCCCCTCCCATTGTCCCATAGTGCACTTTCCCTCCCATAGTGTCTCCCCCTCCCCTTGTCCCATAGTGTCTCCCCCTCCCCTTGTCCCATAGTGTCTCCCCCTCCCCTTGTCCCATAGTGTCCCCCCTCCCCTTGTCCCATAGTGTCCCCCCCTCCCCTTGTCCCATAGTGTCTCCCCTCCCTTTCTCCCATAGTGTCCCCCTCCCCTTGTCCCATAGTGTCTCCTCCCCTCCCCTTGTCCCATAGTGTCTCCTCCCCTCCCCTTCTCCCATAGTGTCCCCCCTCCCCTTCTCCCATAGTGTCTCCCCTCCCTTTCTCCCATAGTGTCCCCCTCCCCTTGTCCCATAGTGTCTCCCCCCCTCCCCTTGTCCCATAGTGTCTCCTTCCCTCCCCTTGTCCCATAGTCTCCTCCCCTCCCTTTCTCCCATAGTGTCCCATTCCCCTTGTCCCATAGTGTCTCCCCCTCCCCTTGTCCCATAATTACTTACCTGTCTTGGAGCGTGGGCCGGCTTCACAGCGCGCTCCGCGGTCCAGGAACTAATATTTCAGGTTCCGGTTTCCGGCGGGACTGAAAGGAAGTGTGCACACTTCCTTTCAGTCCCACCGGAACCTGAAATAGAAGTTCCTGGACCGCGGAGCGCGCTGTGAAGCCGGCCCAAGCTCCAAGACAGGTAAGTAATTCTTCACATTCGCTCCATAAGACGCACAGACATTTCCCCTCACTTTTGAGGGGGAAAAAAGTGCGTCTTATGGAGCGAAAAATACGGTATTTCGTTTTTTGTTCCCTACCTACCCCTACCTTACCTTTTTTAGGGTGGGGGTGTAGGTAGGGTTTAATTTTATTGGGGTTGGGTGACTAGGAGCTTTGGGACACCTAGTCACCTGTTTGGGCAGGGTTTATATTTAGCCCCCACCTGTCGCCAGTGGGTGGGCTGGAGGGGGGAGACAGAAGGTCCGCCCACCTCCTTTTGTTACTTAGGGCTCCAACCCGCCGCTCATTGGTGGGGGCTGTATGTGGACATTGAGTTTAATAGCCCCCACTCGCGTGTCACAGGTGGGGGTGCGGGCAGGGGGGACACTATGTCCTCACCACGTTAATTATTTGAATAGGGCAGATGGGGGGCTTTTTTTTCTTCTTTACAACAGTGAGCAGCCATGATTCTACTTGTGGTATGGCAAGTAGGGGCAAAAGAGAGATTTAAAAATAATTTATTCACTAATACACAGAAATCTTTACTTAGTATTAGTAGAGTTGACTGAAAGACCAAAATTGGTCTTTCACCCTTTTGGTTGATAGCTTCCTAATATCGTGGGAATTAGGGAGCTATTTACTAAGCGGCAGCGAGATGCAGCCGCCGCACAAATAGGATCGGCATTTCATTCATTCTAATGAAATGTCAATCCCAACAGGTAGTACCGAATGGCATAATAACACGAATGAACAAACTATACTCATTCTGTTATGACGAAATTCGGTAGTTTCACTGGCATCTAAATGACAGGACGTTTGGGAATAGTGAAAGGAGACATTGCAAGATCACGGACGAAAGGGTGAGTATTGTAGGAAAATTTCTTTGACCACAGGAAGTGGGTCAAAGCTGGTCAAGCATAGGAAAATTACATAAGACAAAGTAGAGATTGGGGAAAGGTAAGAACTTTCGTCATGACAGTGCCGCGTCTGTGTTATTTCTTCAGAAACTTTCATCATTTTCTATTTCAAATAGCTATTTTGAACATTTTTGTAAAACCAACTCTATGCCTATATAGTTCCAATTCAGGCTTTACACACCATTGGTAGCACTATATTTTATTTTATCTTTTCTAGTGTATTTAGGATGAGGTTCCCAGAGCTGCTAACTTCCTCCTGGTCTTATACATGATCTTTAAATTGGCAATTCATTTTCTTTTTCCTTATAACTAATCTATCTTTCTCTACAGCTATGATTTCTGCTAGTTTTCAACTTGATTCATCACATTATGTATGAGTCAGTAAAATTATGTTTAAAGTGTGATGGCTGTTTGGGGTTTTCCTTACCAGATGCATTATGCATTTCTTGATAATACATTTTAGATGTTACATAATCAACCACTCCTGTAGTTTCCCAATATGTTGAAGACAGTATCAACAGCAAGTAGCTATACATTAATATTTAGATTACAATGGTAAAATTGCAAACAAATGTATAGCTTATTAGGTTGGGATGGCTATACACACCCCTTCCGACAATCAGAGTATCCTATGATAGGTAGTGTGCAGTTGCTTGCTGATTGTATGATGGAGAGACTGTTTAGTCAGTGTAAGAGTATTCATGGGAAGAAATACTTAATAAAGGATGGCTCGTTTACTATATATAAATGTGTCACTGAGCACTCAGAGCAACAGTAATCACAAACATTATATAATGAAAAATGAAAAGTCTGGCAGTTTGGGCCTGTTTAGGCAGTTTGTCGGTCTGAAATTAAAACTCCAAAAGCCCAGAAATTAATCTGGTCCTGGGAGGCAGAGGAGAGGAAGCTGGACCACTTAAGTAATAAATCTGTTTAACACAAGGGAAAAGGACGCTGATGGACTCCAGGCACAATAGCCACTTTACTGACGTGAAGTAGTTTTGGAATGTGGTGTGTGAACAAGTGTCCTTAAAAGCTGCTTGAAGCAGATAAAGCAATGGCATTATTAAATGATGTAGCCAGTAATGTATTTATGTCCTATGTTAAAATAAGTTAAAGGAACACTACAGGGAGTGCAGAATTATTAGGCAAATGAGTATTTTGACCACATCATCCTCTTTATGCATGTTGTCTTACTCCAAGCTGTATAGGCTCGAAAGCCTACTACCAATTAAGCATATTAGGTGATGTGCATCTCTGTAATGAGAAGGGGTGTGGTCTAATGACATCAACACCCTATATCAGGTGTGCATAATTATTAGGCAACTTCCTTTCCTTTGGCAAAATGGGTCAAAAGAAGGACTTGACAGGCTCAGAAAAGTCAAAAATAGTGAGATATCTTGCAGAGGGATGCAGCACTCTTAAAATTGCAAAGCTTCTGAAGCGTGATCATCGAACAATCAAGCGTTTCATTCAAAATAGTCAACAGGGTCGCAAGAAGCGTGTGGAAAAACCAAGGCGCAAAATAACTGCCCATGAACTGAGAAAAGTCAAGCGTGCAGCTGCCACGATGCCACTTGCCACCAGTTTGGCCATATTTCAGAGCTGCAACATCACTGGAGTGCCCAAAAGCACAAGGTGTGCAATACTCAGAGACATGGCCAAGGTAAGAAAGGCTGAAAGACGACCACCACTGAACAAGACACACAAGCTGAAACGTCAAGACTGGGCCAAGAAATATCTCAAGACTGATTTTTCTAAGGTTTTATGGACTGATGAAATGAGAGTGAGTCTTGATGGGCCAGATGGATGGGCCCGTGGCTGGATTGGTAAAGGGCAGAGAGCTCCAGTCCGACTCAGACGCCAGCAAGGTGGAGGTGGAGTACTGGTTTGGGCTGGTATCATCAAAGATGAGCTTGTGGGGCCTTTTCGGGTTGAGGATGGAGTCAAGCTCAACTCCCAGTCCTACTGCCAGTTCCTGGAAGACACCTTCTTCAAGCAGTGATACAGGAAGAAGTCTGCATCCTTCAAGAAAAACATGATTTTCATGCAGGACAATGCTCCATCACACGCGTCCAAGTACTCCACAGCGTGGCTGGCAAGAAAGGGTATAAAAGAAGAAAATCTAATGACATGGCCTCCTTGTTCACCTGATCTGAACCCCATTGAGAACCTGTGGTCCATAATCAAATGTGAGATTTACAAGGAGGGAAAACAGTACACCTCTCTGAACAGTGTCTGGGAGGCTGTGGTTGCTGCTGCACGCAATGTTGATGGTGAACAGATCAAAACACTGACAGAATCCATGGATGGCAGGCTTTTGAGTGTCCTTGCAAAGAAAGGTGGCTATATTGGTCACTGATTTGTTTTTGTTTTGTTTTTGAATGTCAGAAATGTATATTTGTGAATGTTGAGATGTTATATTGGTTTCACTGGTAATAATAAATAATTGAAATGGGTATATATTTGTTTTTTGTTAAGTTGCCTAATAATTATGCACAGTAATAGTCACCTGCACACACAGATATCCCCCTAACATAGCTATAACTAAAAACAAACTAAAAACTACTTCCAAAAATATTCAGCTTTGATATTAATGAGTTTTTTGGGTTCATTGAGAACATGGTTGTTGTTCAATAATAAAATTAATCCTCAAAAATACAACTTGCCTAATAATTCTGCACTCCCTGTATAGGGTCAGGAACACAAACGTATTCCTGACCCTATAGTGTTAAAACCACTATCTAGCCCCCTTGGCCCCATTTGCCTCTCTAAAGATAGTAAAATATTACTTGTATTCAAGTCTGAAGTTGCTGCCTCTACCTGTGAACTTCCTCTGACCTCATCAGAAGTGGTGGCCTGATCCAATCATAATGCTTCCCGATAGGATTGACTGAGACTGACAAGGAGGCAGATCAGGGCAGAGCCAGCACAATTCAGACACAGCCCTGGCCAATCAGCATCTCCTCATAGAGATGAATTGAATCAATGAATCTCTATTAGGAAAGTCCAGTGTCTGCATGCAGAGGGTGTAGACACTGAATGTTTGGATGCATTTTAGGCAGCCATGACCCAGGAAGGATCTCTAACAGCTATCTAAGGAGTGGCCAGTTAAGTTATCACTAGGCTTTAATGTAAACACTGCTTTTTCTCTGAAAAGACAGTGTTTACAGCAAAAAGCCTGAAGGTAACGATTCTACTCACCAGAACAAATTCATTAAGCTGTAGTTGTTCTGATGACTACAGTGTCCCTTTAAGGACTGGAGTACATTGATGTATGAATACCGGAGTACATTGATGTAGTGTGGACATAACATAACATGGCTATATGGATTGAGATGGTTAAGAAACCTTGAATGACATTTCAGACATTTAAATAGCTTGTACTTCAGTAGATTCCTGCTCAGGTTTCACGCTCATTTTAACTACATTGTGCCTTCACAGAGTTACCCTATGCATATAAGACTAAATTCACTCAAACTGGCAGTTCAGATATAAAGTCATGATGAGAGATGCAGCAACCCTTGACAATGTTTTGAGTAAATGCCACCCCAAGAAGCCAGTGTTTATTGTTGGACTGCTGGGTAAGCTGGACAGCATACTAGCGGATGTGATTATTAGCCCTGATGCTATTGCCGCCATGTGCGGTTTGGTAGGGGTGTAAGGAGATTAAAGCCAGACCCATGATGATTGCAAGCTTATATCAATCTAGGTGGCACACGTGTAGCCTAGATGTGTTGACTGAGTGAACGGAGATTTCAAATAAAAACAATTCGGAAAACAAACATATTTACATTAAAAATAAAAGATAAAGATACACGAGGGAGTGATGCCCGTGGAGTAGGAACCGTGGGCACCAGTAACCTATGGTTACAATAGAGAGACCATAATGTCCCACGTATAAACTGCACATTGAACACCTGAATTAGCTTGCTATGCATGATGTCTGCGTGCTGGTATGCTACTCATCCTAATGCAGCCTCATTTAATCGGTATAGATTAATATGTAGATTAGTGAGATGATAGCCTCTAAACAGGGTAGACTGCTAAGCAGTGTGTATCACATAAACATATGAGTAATAGGTGTAAAAGATAATTAAAAAGTTTAAGTCAGCTTAACTGGGTCAGTCGACACTCCATCCCTGCAGCCAGGTTCTCCATGGGTGGTGCGATAGGCTCAGTCACTGTGTCAGCCAATTCCTCTGCTGGGCAGGATGGGAGTGGGTACTTGGAGGTTTTGGAGAGTGATGTTGAGTCGTAGGTGGCGGAAGGCCTCTCCCCAGCACCAGGCCTTGTAAAACGTCGACATCCATTGTCCACAGACTCGGGATCTCAGTGAGACCGGCTCTCTCCCTGTATGGGCGCTGAAGGTCGTCCGACCTAGATGGGCATGTGGCTCGAGTATTGGGGGCTTGGCGTGTTTTTTTTCCCAGATCAGGCCTGTAACCCCGGCCTTTTCCGATTCCCTGCCAGGGGTAGGAGGTTGTTGGGTAGTACGCTGCTCCAAAAGCTCTAGTCGCTTGTGTAGGGGCTGTGTAGGTGCAGGCATTCAGGTTTGGTTGGCAGCTGCCATTTTGCTGGGCCCAGTGCAGTCTGGGTGTGAACTATATTGGGCCGCAGGGGCAGGTAGCAATGTGTGTGCCAGGTTGGTGAGGACCGGGATAACCACCGCCATTCCTAAGGGGGGGGGGGAGGCTCTTATTAGGATCTGCCGAGAGCTGTGGTGGAGGGAGATCTGTCGTGTCACCCATGCATCTAGGCTGCAAGAGTTGTCCGAGCAGAGCTGCTAGGGGAATCCACATGTCTGAAATCTTCATGGAGGTCATAAAGTCCCCTGTCATTTGTTAGCCAGCTTTTGTCAGGTTCCAGCTTCTGTTCGGTAACAATTTGCAAGATTTGCAGTATAACGCAGGAGCTGTTGCTCTGCGATCAGGTCATGCCCTCATAAGTATATTTTTTTAAAACACAGGTAATGATCTTTTTTTTCTATAAAATACATCACTCCCACAATCTGTAAACACTAATTGTGTCTGTCCATATTTCTTTGTGTGTTTGTATGTTTTTATAAAGTGATCTTTTAAACAAACTATTTTAAAGAAGTAAATTCTCAGAAACAGCTGGTAGGAAATGATTAAAGGTCAGTTCAGGTACCAGTGATCTAAAGAGATATTGCATGTGTGCTAAGCATCAAGGGTGTAGGAGTGCATTCCCCCTGCAGTGATAGACACGAATTAAGTTCTCCATTGTGGTTGCATTCAGCTTGATTCAACAAAATATGGTATACTCCTCTGTAAATAGCATTTTATAGTTAAATAGTTATGTTAGTTATAGTTATGTTATCATTTACAGTTGAAGAGTTTATGCGTTCTTTCATTAATTTTTTTTAAATGATCTTTTGCATCGTAGCTCCTTACTTTTTAGAACCAGTGAAATACTATGCAATCGTCACACTCTGGTTTGTGCAGATGCTTTGCCTTGCTTTTATTAATGAATGGTGCATAAGGTTGAGCATCTGCCTTTTGGTAGATTCATTCATGAATCCTGACATCATGCACAAGTACCACGCATGTAAAATATGAATTCAGACCTTCAAATGCATGGTGTATAGTTCTGGACCAACACTCACAGATCTAGGTACGACCTGACCTCCTACAATATTGAAGAGCAAGGAGATCCATCACAGCCAGTTTTCTGGTTTAAGCAGTGCTGCTGGTGCTTTATGGATCGCAGTGAAGTATCACATTCAGAAATTCTATTCTGCAGTGCTGGTTTGACGTCTTCTAAAATTCTTAAGTACAGATTATTGAAAAATGGCAGCCTCCAAATCACAGCAGATCCATTTGATTATAATTTGCATAACTTGTTGGCAGGATATATTTTTTTGCCACTATATATTACCTTTTATAAACACAGTAAAAAAAAATATGAGGATAACTGTACATAATGGCTTCAGAGAAAAAAAATGAGAGACAAAATTAAAAGAAGGAAGGAAGAGAAAAGTGAGTAAAAGGTTCCTTAATCTGTCTAATTATAAATCTAAAAATGACACTGTTCCAGTTTGCACAATCGTATATGGTATAAATAGTATATAGTATGGTGTCTAAAATATATGTTGTTTGGGAGGAAATAAAGGGGTAGGTTCTACAAGTTTAGGCAAGAGCATCACTGTGAGGAAGAACATTTTCACTCGCATTTCAATTATTTATGGAATAATTTATTTTATTTCCTTTGGTTTTTCTTATTTATTTAAATACATTTCTTATTCTTTCGGAGCACCCACCCAGTAACAACACATTCGCCTGGTATTCTTAACCTGCTTAAATGCATTAATGAATAGTTAATAATTGCTCTAAATAAATAGTTAATAACTGCTAACATCGAACCAACAACATACTATACTAATACTATTTCTTGACGCAATAGTGGGCTCACTTTAATTGTAAATTATGCCATAATTCCGGCACTGGATTTTATGTTGTAATCCCTAATTTAGGGTGACAAGAAGAGACGGAAATAAAAAAGCCATTTATTTCAGAAATTATTTGCAACCTTGCAGTAAAAATATCTCAAAATTATACCTGGTTCAACAATACATCTGGTTCCCCTATCTTTAATGTGACAAGTGACAATTGTCATCATATCATAGTTCCTCTCATATTCTGTAGATACCAATATGTCTTTGATTATACTGAATTATTCAAATGTATGTTTGAATTATGTGCTTTTTTTTGAAAGTTCCATTTTCCCATTCTCTCCTCTACCTGTCAGGTTTTCGAGAAGAAGAACCAAAAATCTGCTCAGACCATTGCTCAGTTATACAAGAAGTTGGAGCATTATCACAAGAAGTTAAAGGAAATTGAGCAGAATGGAATCTCCCGGCAGCCCAAGGATGTCTTGAGGGACATGCAGCAGGGACTGAAAGATGTGGGAGCTAATGTACGAGCAGGCATAAGTGGATTCGGCGGAGGGGTTGTAGAGGGAGTTAAAGGAGGATTATCTGGTTTATCTCAGGTGACACATACTGCAGTGGTCTCAAAGCCCCGGGAGTTTGCTAGTCTCATTCGTAACAAATTTGGAAGTGCAGACAATATCCCTCACTTAAAGGATGGACTAGAAGAAGATGGTGAGGGACACGGCGCTGCTAGAGCACTAAGTGGAAGTGCCACTCTTGCACCAAGCCCTAAGTATGGAAGTGATGATGAGTGTTCCAGTGCTACCTCTGGGTCAGCTGGGGCAGGGAGTAACTCTGGGGCAGGACCAGTCGGGCTTGGCAGCCCTAGGTCTAACACTCTGGATGGGCATCACCACGGACATCATGGGGGATTTGATGCTATTCTAGAGGAGCTGTGTGAGATTAAAGATGGCCAGAGCCACCTGGAAGATACAATGGAAGATTTGAAATCTCAGCTACAGCGAGATTATAGCTACATGACACAGTGTCTCCAGGAAGAGCGCTACAGGTTAGTACCTAACAAATCACAGATATTGCCACATATGCTAATCTGTATTCTTGTGATCAGAAATATGTGTTTTTTTTTGTGTAACAAAATCTTCAGCAAAAACTGTTTTTTCAGCATCATCAACGTATATAACTGAAACAGGTGTGTATATCATAATTAGAGAAGAACAGGCTTACACTCGTCATTATTGTGCAGGTATAGAAACAATAGCTATAATCAGATAACCTTTACAGTGCAGCACTGGTAAGATAGCAGCACAATTTAACAGTGTGGTGATGTATACAGAAGGTACACTTCCCTTAAGTGACATCAGAGTAGTGCAAATGATTAGCCTTCTTGCAAGAATAGAGAAGGAAGCAGGAAGGTGTGGTAGGATGGCCATGATATGCACAGTAAAGCCATATGGCCCTGGAAGCAGTCTGTTAGCCCAATGGGAGAACGGCTTGAGTTTGTGACGTCAGCCATGGGTAGAAATCTCACCACAGTTATAGCATTGGCCGTAATTAAATAACATTTCATATCCCCATACTTATAATTACATCTAGTTTTTTTCTAGATGCTTTGATATGCTATTACAAACACAAAAGCAAAAAGGTCACCGCTAACAAGCCACAGAAACCAAACAGAGGCAGCGCACCTAGAGTAATGGGTTTCCCTCACAAACCCCAAATAAATATTGGAGGTAAAAGAAAAAAGGGGAGGAAGGTAGCACTGGGGAACTGTGTGTCAATGTGCATCTGTGTGTGTATCTGTCACACAGATACACACACTGGCACACTGATACACAGATACACACACCGTGACACACACTGTGTGTTTGTGTGTATATATCTGTGTTCCAAGGTGTGTGTATCTGTGTGTCAAAGTGTGTGTATCTGCGTTTGTATGTGCCAGTGTGTGTCTGTGTATGAAGGTGTGTGTGTATCTGTGTTTGTATGTGCCAGTGTGTGTATCTGTGTGTATGAATCTGACACATTGTGGCACACATACACACACCTTGACACACAGTGTGTGTCTGTTTTTTGTGTCAAAGTGTGTGTATCTATGTGTCAAAGTGTGTGCATCTGTGTTTGTATGTGCCAGTGTGTATCTGTGTGTGTGTATATATGTGTATCTGACACACAGATACACACTGGCACATAGTGGCACACAGATACACACACTGACACACAGATGCACACACTCAGATCAGATGCACACAGTGACACATACACCCATATTGACTCACAAATACACACACACTCAGATACACACAGTGTCATATACACACACTGACACACACGCAGATACACACAGACATACACATGCACAAACATAGGCACATACAAACACACTGATATACACTGGCACCTACACACACACCAATACACACATACTGACATACACACACTCAGATACACACAGTAACACATACACAAACCCCGTGAGGGAGCTGAGCAGGGGAGAGTGCTCCCTCGCCGCCCGCGGCCATTTTGTTTGACATACACGCACTCAGATGCACACATTGACACATACACACACACTGACACACACTCAGATACACACACACTGACACACACACACATAGGCACATACAAACACACTAATATACACTGGCACATACACACACACCAATACACACATATTGACATACAAACAGTGACACATACACAAACCTCGCGAGGGAGCTGAGCAGAGGAGAGTGCTCCCTCGCCGCCCGCGGCCATTTTGTTTCCCAAAATTTTGGCGGAGCCCCATTTGTGTTCTTGCGGAACCCCAGGGTTCCGATAACACCAATTGGAAAACGCTGCTCTAAGGTGATGGAGTTCCTAGGTAACCTACCTTCTGACAATTGATGAGCAGCATGCATAGGTTAACATATCCTAAAGTATACACACTGGGAATTTCAATTTCGGCATAACCGAAAGGTTAAGGTGACGTAATGCTCAATCTATTTTTTCTTTGTGGTTTATCCCTTCATAAATAAATAATATAAGGAGAGCAGCCCAAGTGCCTGACATACAGTGAGAGAACAGTCTGATTAGATGAGCACACTCATGCCAAGCACTGGTAAGACATGACTACTAAGAAAAGTAAGATATATCTGAAAATGTACAATAATTGTGTGTGAAACAGAGCTTTTAAAATATAAGGAGAAAGTACTTTCATAGTCTGACTCTATACAGTTATACCATCTTTTTACATACAATCTATTGTTATATCGCTCAGTTATAGTATGAGTAAATTTACAAATATTACCATCTCTGTAGATTGTTCTAATTTAGCCAGACTTTACTCTTTAATCTCAAGCATTATCTAATGAATTTAATATATGTTGATACTTTGTAGGTTATAAAAATGTATTTATACTTTATAAACAGCTAGCCTAATAGATAGTAAATAGTTAGATTTAGTTTTATTTGTTTGTTTAGTGTTCCATGCTATCCGGGTAGAGATAAACACTACATTTATCTGCTGCACCAGCCAAATTAATGGTTTCCCCCCACAATACGAAATATGGCATCCTACAATGTTTGTCATGGGAGTGGTAGGATCATTATTGCATCCACATTAATGAAGATCAGGAAAGTATCATTTTCATCCATGTAGTTTCTGGAAATTTTGCAAGCATATTGGTCTTGGATGAGGGATAAATGGGACATGGGGCATGGCATTTAACACTGCATATCTGCCCAGTACAGATATGTGCCAGTATTATTGAAGTTACTCCTAAATAATTTTTGATATGTACAAGTCTATTTGTGCTGACAGCAAGCGCCATTCTTGTTAGGAATACAAAACTGTATTTCTAACGCTATAGTGCCCGTCTCTGACTCTACACAGGTTTCCCCATGTGCTTAAAAAATATGTATAGAATTAAAGTTTTAGTTATCATTTTGCAGCTCTGAGGAAGCTTCTCCGCCTCCCACTAAGTCATGGAGGAAACACGGCCTTCAGTGATCCTCATGGAGCATTGGGGACCTGATGCACATATGAGACTTGATGCACCACATGCATTCAAGCTTCCCCAGAGGAAAGCACTGGATTCAGTGCGTTCCTTTGGACGTCCGAGTCACATCAAAGTGCTTTACCTGGTCTGTGCAGCGGAAACAAACGTCTAAAATGCTGCAGTGTTTTACATTGCAGGGTTTAAGGAGCAGGGCAACTGCACCCAGGCCACTTCAATGAGTCTGGCTGACTATAGTGTTCCTTAAAAAAAAAGTTATTCTTAAGTTTTTTTATGCACCCAATCTCTTTTGCCAGGGAGGGGGCATGAGTCATTGAAGTGGTCAGGTATGTGGATTTTGTGGCCTCTACTTTCTGTGAGTGCAGACCACTTGTCCCTCTGTCTCTGTTCTGGTGCTTTTTTTGGCGAGACATAGCGTTGCCTTGGTAACCCACGGCAATGCTCTGAATCAAAGAGAAGCTTCAGAGCACAAGCAAGAGTCACCTGTGGTGTCTGCACCACTCTGGGTTCTGAGACACTCAGGGCCACCTGAAGGATCCTCTGATCTCACCATTGACCCATTTGGATCTGGCATATGCGTGTGCCATGCATGCATGCAATTGGATGTCTGCCCTCATTGTAGAGTATTGGTTATTTGTTTTAAAAAAAAGTATTTTCCATCTTTACCACCACCTGCAGCGATCTCTGCAACATACCATATTTCTACGTTAATAGTGATAAATGTGGCAAACTGCTCGCACACATTCTCAATAAACAGAGAATTCAGTCATATATAGCCTGCCTATGGGACTCCCAACCCCAACCACAGCAAATGCCTGGCAGAATAGCCAACTACAACACCGGACTCGCCACAGAATGACCTGGGGTCGAAATCTAAATGTGCATATCTCAGGGACAATGTCAAAACTAATGGCAAAGGCGATTGAAGCTCCCTTGACGGCGGAGGAACTAGCGGCAGCGGTCAAAGCCACGAAACCAGACAAGAGCCTGGGCCTGGGCGGGCTCACGGTACAGTTCAATACGCAATTTTCAAGCATATTGTTCCCACATTTCCTGGAGGCGCTCAACTCGTTCACCCTGGGTCAGACACTGACAGCTAACATCACACTGATACCCAAGGACAAATACCGTCCAATCTACCTTTTGAATTGCGACCTGAAGGTCTTTGCTAAAATCTTGGCTACCAGACTGTTACCTTACCTGCCTATGCTGGTAAAACTGGACCAAGTGGGCTTTGTTCATCACTGCGAAGCTAGAGATAATACCACAAGAGTGCTGGCGCTGATTCATCAGGCCCAGAGGATGGAGGAGGACCTTCTGCTACAGATGCAGAGAAGACCTTCGACAGAGTGAGCTGGAACGTCCTCTTCCGCACTGGAAATGGGACCCAAGATGTACACCTGGATCACAGCGATGTACGACACCCCACGGAAAGGATCTGTATCAATTGGGCTTTCATCAACCTGTTAGAGATCAATAATGGCACCAGACAGGGCTTCCCGCTGTCACCGCTGCTCTTTGTCCTTGCCCTCGAGCCGATCCTCCTGTCTGTGAGACGCAACCCCGATATCAAGGGACTCAAATGGGACCCACGTCGCATAAGTTTGGTGCTTACGCAGATGACCCTCCCCAATATAATGCAGGAGTTTGACCGCTATGGCAAGATCTCCCATTTCAAGATTAACTACTCCAAATCTAACGTACTGAATATTACGGTGCCGACCAGACAGGCCTCAGCGTTGCACCCCTGCTTTCAATTCCACTGGGCAGATGATGCAATCAAATATCTGGGAATTGGGCTTACAACCAATCTTTCTCAGTTGTATCACGCAAACGTTACGCCCATGTTTAAGACCTTTACGAAGAACCTGGAAGAGTGGACACTGCCACACATATCCTGGCTGGGGCGTATGGCAGTGACAAAAATGAATTTGCTACCGTGCATTCTGTACGTGTTTCAAACACTGCCCATCCATATTCCAACAGCCTTCTTCAAGTCTCTCAGGTCACTGACAATCAGATACATATGGGGCTCACACAAGCTGAGGTTGGCGTACCAAATACTAACGAGACCAAAGACTGACGGTGGGCTGGCAGTACCAGACTTTCATTTATATTATCGGGCATCCCACCTACAGAGAATGTTGGAGTGGGTCAACGATGGAGTGTCCAAAATGTGGAAAGAGATTGAGCAATCCCAGACGGGAGGCTCTTTGAAGGCGCTAACGTGGATGCACCCGGCAGCGAGCAGGCAGCTTTCCCATCATCAACCTTTTGTTAAGACCACCCTAGACATATGGCATAGGTCTGCAACAAGAATGGAACTTTCATCCTTCCCCTCTCTCCTTTACCCTCTGACGCATAACCCAGAGTTTATCCCTGTAACGGAGGAGAAAGTGTTCACTTGCTTACTCCCGCAACCACAAGTACAAGCCCAGCATCTGCTGGTGGGGGGGAAACCTAAGCCTTTTGACGAGCTTGTAGAGGGCACACACCACACTTTCACTCCGAGATTGAAGTATGAAGAATTGAAACAGTTCATAAATTGCATCCCACAAAAACCCAACTTAGTTAGGGCACTGACCCCATTTGAAACTCAAGATGATGAACCGGACGCGTTACTGCATGCAGTATTTTATCTATATTCATTATTACTGCAACATAGAAACCATCCGTCCCCCAGTAAATGGGCAAATGGGAAACATGGTTAGGGGAAACCTTCACAGATCAGCAATGGGGAAAGATTTGTGACCTATTACATCACTGTGCTCTCGCCAGTAAGACTCAGACAGCCTATAAGGTTTTGTCTTTATGGTATTGGACTCCACAGGCTCTAAGGTATTTCAATCCAACTCTGGGAGACTATTGTTGGCACTGTGGGGCCAGCACTGGAAGGTTCTTGCACATTTGGTAGGAAAGCCCTAGGTTAACACCTTTGTGGCAGGCAATAGGCGAAGTCTTAAACAAATTATCAGGCAAGCCGCCCCCTTTCCGACCAGCCCCCTACTTCTTACACCACACTACAATACTAACAACGGCATAAAAAAAATCCCTGATGGTTCGAATCTTGAATACAGCAAAACAAGTACTGCCTCTGTACTGGAAACAAGACGTACCCCCTCCCCTGACAGTGTGGTTTGAACAGATGGAGGACCTCCGCCGACTGGAGGAACTGACGTTTGCAGAACAAGACCGCTCTCAGACTTATATGGACATATGACGGTCGTTTACCAAGCTGACTTCCAGGGACTGCTGACGTATGGACATCAGACGGACCTCCAGGGCAGAGATAGGGGGTACACCGGAGGGGAACGCGGAGGGGGGTCCCAAGTTGCCGTTTCATGCAGTATGGAGGCCACAGCTCTATCCCGACAGGCTGCTTGTTGCCTCTCAGTGTATGGACCACACAGGGAGGCGCCCAGGCACCCAATACTGGAGCGGGTTCAAGTCATGCTGGGGGGGAGGGCACAGGGGAGTACTATTACCAGTTACTGGCTTAACGATTATCACTGTGAGTAAGAGAGGCATATTGGTTTGAGAGGCCTATACAACTTCACCTTATCTCTGGTGGATCATGAGAGCATGCTCCAACCCGCGGCTCAGAAGTCAAACCCTGCTGTAGGGGCGTACCTAGAGCATTTGGCACCCGGGGCGGACCCTGAGTGTGGCACCCACCCCACCCCCATAATAAAAATGTAAGAAAACACCCACAATTTTTTCAATGTTTTCAATAATATTTATTTCACAAATTTGTAAATTGTATATCAACTTGAAAAAAATGGAACTATGAAAAATAAATTAACTTAGAAATAAATAAAATTTAAATAATTAACATTTACTTAATACACCCCCCATAATTAATCCACTCCCCCATAATTAATACACCCCCCATAATTAAACCTCCCTCCCATAATTAAACCTCCCTCCCATAATTAATCCTCCCTCCCATAATTAATACACCCCCCATAATTAATACACCCCCCATAATTAATCCACTCCCCCATAATTAACTTCCCCCATAATTAAACCTCCTCCCATAACTAATACACCCCATAATTAATAAACCCCCATAATTAAACCTCCCTCCCATAATTAATACACCCCCCAATTAATACACCCCACAATAATACACCCCCATAATTAATACACCCCACCCCCCATAATTATAATTAATCCACCCCCCATAATTAATACACCCCCATAATTAATACACCCCCCATAATTAATACCCCCCCATAATTAATCCACCCCTATAATTAATACACCCCCCATAATTAATTCACCCCCTATAATTAATATAACCACCCCCATAATTAATATCCCCCATAATTAATACACCTACCCCCATAATTAATACATAATACACCCCCTAATTAATACACCCCCATAATTAATCCACCCCCCATAATTAATACACCCCCCACAATTAATACACCTCCCCATAATTAAACCTCCCTCCCCTTTAATTCTTTAATTATACACGCCCCATAATTATACACCCCCCTTTTAATTAATTTAATAACATCACATAAATTACATAAACACATAAATGAATAACATCACATAAATTACTACTCACGTTTTGATGATGCCTTCCCTCCAAGACCGACCACAGGATCCTTGCGCTGAAGATCCGTGAAGGCGGCGCTGCATACGGCGTCATCACTCCGCGTCCCGCAAGACTCCTCCCCCTTCTCAGCCTCCGCAAAGGTGCTGCCGCTGCGGCTGTGCGCAGCGTAATGATTGGGGCCAGGGGGGTGACACATGACACTGGAAGTCATGGCACCCCCCTAGTCAGTGGCACCCGGCACAGGGTTAACGGCTGCACCTTTTCTTTCTTGTATAAATTACTGTATGTATATACGCATGTGCCTGCTCCTACTTGATACTACAGGAGACCTGTGAGTCTCCATTTATTGACACATGCCTTTCGGTCCTGCGTGACCCAGATTGCTTTCACTGAACGTTATTGAACAGCTTCCTTAAATAAAAATACATTTACAAAAAAATAAAAATAAAAAAGAGTATTTTTTCATCGAACTTAGAACGTAAGTTCGATGGTCCTGTTAATATGTCAATATCAGATTACGTGCTAATGGCATAATGTGAACCCAGTCAAGTTCAGTTCCTTAAAGGACCACTCTAGGCACCCAGACCACTTCAGCTTAATGAAGTGGTCTGGGTGCCAGGTCCTTCTAGGGTTAACCCATTTTTTTATAAACATAGCAGTTTCAGAGAAACTGCTATGTATATGAATGGGTTAAGCCTTCCCCTATCTAGTGGCTGTCTCATTGACAGCCACTAGAGGCGCTTGCGTGCTTCTGTGATTTTCACAGTGAGAGCATGCCAGCGTCCATAGGAAAGCATTGTAAATGCTTTCCTATGCGACGGGCTGAATGCGCGCGCAGCTCTTGCCGCCCGTGCGCATTCAGCCCAGGAGGAGGATCGGAGGCAGAGAGCTCCCCGCCCAGCGCTGGAAAAAGGTACTTTTTTACCCCTTTCCCCTTTCCAGAGCCGGGCGGGAGGGGGTCCCTGAGGGTGGGGGCACCCTCAGGGCACTATAGTGCCAGGAAAACGCGTATGTTTTCCTGGCACTATAGTGGTCCTTTAAATGGGCGAAGTTGAAACAGCAAATACTATCTCTTGGGATCTTACTCAAGCATTACGACATATCTGTTCAGCTCTGTATTTAAAATACAATTGAAAATCAGAGTAACAAATGGAGCAGTAGATGAATATTGTGTCTGCCAGCCCTAAGGAATTTATGCAAGGGACAAACACACACTGCATACTAAGTAGCCTACACCTCTATGCAAGAAACATGTTATGGAAAGTATATTACAATGCCTAATACATTTACATAAATCCTAATTCTAAAGTGATAATTTGCCATTATTCTTATGTCTTCTAATTGCTGGTACATTGTAGGAATTTAGAAAGAATGAAAGAAAGTTATTGCCGATCACGTAGTAGTAACTTCTGAATGCTGAAACTGCATCTTCCCAAATATATAAAAGTAATGATTGAACATGTGTTCATTTTGCACAAAAAAACAAGTTATAAAAGGCACTTAATTTCTTCAGACAGTCTACATTTCACATACATGTGTATTACTTGGAGGTAGTGGGGGGCACTAATCAAACGTATATGCACGTGCAGAATGTGATTAAGTCTGGCATCAAAAGAGCTCCTTACCACTATCCCCTTACTTGTCTGCCACTCTGCTGTAAAATATGGTTGATTATCCGCTAAACGGCTACGTTTATGTGATCCAACTATCCGATTGGGAGTTTGAGAACGCTGTATTGGTGAGTATACAGCGAGCTATCACAATTTGCTTCAATCACTCCATCTATCAGCTATTGTGCCTTTTATTCCCTATCTCTATTATTTTTTTCTATGTACACATTTAGGCATTTTACTAAAAATTACAGAACCTTTCTTAGATAGCAGATCTGCACTTTAAATGTAGATAAAGCGCGAGGGGTGAATTGATTGGTAAAAAGTATAATTTTTTACAATCGGTATCTAAATGTATCGCTCTTAGATCACAGAAATAAAGAAACACTATAGTGTCAGGAATACAAACATGTATTCCTAACACTATAGAATTTAACTATTTAGGTGACTGACCTCCCTTAGATCACATAGGAAAGAATTTTTGTTTTTCTCTGAAAAGGCAGCGTTTACAGTGCTCAACCTACAGGGACAGGCTATAGATACCAGAACAGCTACCTTAAGCTGTAGTGGTTCTGTTGACTATAGCGTCCCTTTAAGTTGCAAATCCTTTACAAAACATTCTATGTACAGATCTATCACTATACTGTGAAGTAAGTTAATAATAGATCTATTTAAAACAGAATTTAAGTACACTACCTTTTAGGGATGCATTATGTTTTTTTTTTGTTTTTTTTAATTTGACAATTTTTATTCCATTTTTCAAGTACGTGTTGGGGTACAGAAAGGAAGAAGAGTAGGGGAGTACATTCCAAGCATTGCAGGATTATTTTTTCCCACATTTGCGTTTACAATACAGTTCTCCTATCAAACATGTGTGTTCTCTTTAGGGTGGGGGAGGGGTACATCAACGAGAGAGAGAGGGGGGTGGGGGGGTAGGTATTAATGCTGCATAGTATCAAATTTTCCATTCTCCACATCCAACCCTTGCTGTGTGTTTCGTGGATTCGATGGTGGTGCCATGGTGGAAGGTTGGATGATATGGGCTGGTTACCTCTTCCATGAGGTGTCTGAAGGGTAAACGTGTCATACATCCCATGTAGTTATACCTTTTTGGTTACCTCTATGCCCTGCGATGCGGTAAGGGGAGAGGGGTATAGATGGGTAGGGGGGTGGAGGGGGGGGTAACTTATGTACACCAAGTTTCATCTACTTGGTGTGGGTTAATGATTTGGGTGGTTGTCTCGCCCGCTAGGTGGGCATTCAGTATTACGGGTTACACCTGGTCTTTTACTTTTTTTCCCCTGTGCCACTATTCACTCTTGGTAGCCGCTTGTGGAGTCTCTACATACAATATGTTCCTATTCAACACCAGCCATCTGAGGTGTCATCGTATTCCAGTATGTTTCCCATATTTGTCCTGCCTCTATTGTTGCCCTTCGTATCCCAAGCTGTTGAGTTGAGGGATGCATTATTTTTATCGAACATACTTTATGTATAATATGATGATTTTTAAAGAGATCTTATTGGTTATCTTGTGTTTAATGTTTAAAATCCTGGTTTTATTACAAATTTTATAATAAAGGTTATGCACACTATTTTATTCCCTTTTTTGTTGTTGTTGTGATTATCAAGGATTAGGGGTTACCTCCTTTTGCTGTGTCAGTTGAATACTATAATTCAGCTCATACCCTCATCACGAAGATAGCAAATAAAAACATTTTCTGTTATTGACATTGCTTAGAGTAAGATTCAGGTAATTTGTGGAGCACAAATGGGAAGGTATGGCATTTAAAACAACTAGAATAAAAGAGTTAGGCAGTTGTTGGAAAGAACACTCTATTATTTGGTTGTTCCACTACACAAATATTTGCAGTGAAATTCATGATTGTTGTAATATGTTAAGTAAGGTACTTGTGCCAAATCTCGTTAAGAGGTTTTACTATGTCCATATGTACTTTGAAAAGTGTATAAGTCCAGTTTCTTCTCCCAGCATGCCATGTGTAGTAGTCTAGATTGAGGTTTTGGTAGGATCAGGGCAGACGATGCAATATAGCAATACTCCAGCAGTCTGATCAAGGGGCAAAGTGCACTTTACTGTCATCACACCATACAGCAGTATGACGTTTATGATAGCAGACCTTTATCAGACTTTGAGCAGAGAAAGCAGGTCTTCAGTGCGATGTCTGGGTGACATTCAATGCATAATCATTGGTTTAGTCTGCAGTTTTAAAATAAATGTAAAGAGTATGTTGCTATGAATCACCAAGGATGTCAATTCCCTTTTTCCCAGAAATAGAGAATTATGGACTGTGATACATGCTGTCATGGCTTGCAGAGTAAGCTTTTATGATTGCTATTTTATATAAAATGGTTTAAATACTTGTTGGAAAGTTCATAGACAATTAGCTGGAGGAACTTGGGATAGCCAGACATTGGGAAAGAATGGCACTGTCCCTGGAAATCTGGGACAATTAGTAAGCATGATGTTAGGAATGTAACTCCAGTGGAATCTTGTCATTGGGAAGCTCTGTATAATTTTCGGGTTTATAAATTTATTCCTCGGTTATCCTATTATTCCTATTATATATTCCTCGATGTAAAAATCTTATGTTATTTTATGAAGGCAGTGTGCCCAAAGCAGTTCCAGGTAATAGCAATTGACTGCACATCACTATTTTACTTTCTGTTGTTAGGTCTTTGATCTTTCACGTGTAATTACTTAGTCATAGAGTTATGATTTAATGTCAGTGCTATATGAAGGTAGCACATAGTTATGTCGAAATAACTCCTTTAATGTGGGGTGTACTCACGAGGCAGTGTCTAGCCAGTTACCCTGAAGGGAAAACACATTTACACCTGACTTACATGTGGTTTTTGGAATTTGGACAATATTTCTTTAACCCCTTAAGGACACGACATGTGTGACATGTCATGATTCCCTTTTATTCCAGACGTTTGGTCCTTAAGGGGTTAAAAATGATTGCTTTTAACCTTTATACAAAAAAAAAAAAAAAAAGGTTTTCATCTTGCTGCAGGTATAATGGATTAGACATCAAAAAACCTTTCTAAAATCTGTAACTTGTATTTGTGTCCATTACTGTCTTCTCTTCCAAACAATACTCAGACACATTATTATTCTATTCACTATTAGTTTTTGGTGGAGCTAGCGTTGATATATTTCTAATTAGCTATTAACCCTGAGAATGCCATATAATTTTGAACGTTATCTGGCTAACTAAACAATTCTATGAAAATTAAATAAATTAGCATGTAACTGGAATCAGGGATGAAGGGAATCCAAAGTGTCTAATCCAGCAGAGGACTTAGTGGTCTTGTCTTCATTTAGTATCCTAAGCTGGCACGTAGATTCACAGTTTAGTAGACAAGCCGAAGGTCAGCTAGTGAGAAGACATATAGAATAGAATGGGAGGATAAAGACACATGACATACAAAAGGAATCATAGAGATGTACGAACAGGCACTGAGTATTGAGTAGAGTTGGAGCAAGGTCAGATTCAGGTCCAGATTCACAGGCAGGGGCTGAGACTGAAATTGGTTTAGTAATAGAGCTAGGTTTCAGTGCAAGGTATCAGAGTGACTGAACATCGAACGAAGTGCTATCTGATCTTTGAAAAGGCACGCATTGTAGGCACCTGTGCGGTGTGGGAAGACCTTGCGTTGCCCAGTGGTGCCAAGACTTAAATTCATCAATTGTCCAGTGTGTCAATTGCAACAGAATGGGGAAATGCCTATATCCTAGTCTGTTGGTGTGTCTTGATGACTGATCTTGTGACCAGTGACCTAGACAACATGTGCACAGACTGCCTGGTATCATATGATGCTGGATGCATTTATATCACTTTGTCTTTGGCAAGCGCCCTGAAACACCGGCATGCCAACGCTTGTTGTAAATAATTGCGGCAACCAAATAGCAGGGAGTCTGATTGCACGAGAGGCTCCTGGGGAAGGTAGGTGGCGGTTTTACCACTGCCTATTCCAAATAAAGATTATCATATTTCTATTTTATATTTCACTTGATACTGTCTTTTAGTTGAGGTAGATTTATCAAAGTGTGAAATGGTTAGCGAACAATACTATGTTACTCCTTAGAGCTTATATATTTCAATGTCAATGATCAGGCTCACTTGTATGCTCACATTTTTCTTTCTCTTTTAAATATTTCTCTCTTGTGTTCTATTCCAGACATGTCTGAGGTGGTTTCAGTAATGCCTACTTTTTGCTTTCCGAGATCAGTTGAGTTGTGTGTAAACTATGTGCTCATGTTTGGGAAAATCATTTGAATTCAATGTTTAGAGCTTTACCTGTCTCTCATGCCTGTCCATATCAGATCCCAGCTAAGATTGTGTCTTTTAGAAAACAGGAAGGTGAATTGTTAGTGTAGGACTCACCTGGGATATTTGCCTTGATGGGGCATGTGAGCTTGCACTTCAATGGCCATTGGAATGATACCAGAAACCTCCAGTTAGTTAAATGAGCACAAGAATTTGGGAAAGTGAGCAGGTAACTTTTTTTTGCTTTGTTCTTTGTATTTGGGCTGATGTATACTGTAGCCATTGCTTCTGCCCAGGGGTAGTGGGAGTTTGAGCATAGAGATTAATTTTGTGTGTTTGCACACAGCTGACATATGTTGTGGGTAAAATCTTTTGTAGGCTGCTACTGTACATTGCAGATAATTTACTTGGTAACACTACTAACTGGTGTAGCAAATTCATTCGTACATCAGCTTTATACACTTGTAGAATACTTCAGCGTTCAAAAGTTCATTGTTTATTAAAGGGACACTATAGTCACCCAGATCACTTCAGCTTAGTGAAGTGGTCTGGGTGCCAGGTTCCTCAGGCTTTAAGGACTTGCCGCGCATGCACATTCGGCTCCGCTGACGTCGGCGGGGGAGGAGAGGTCACCAGTCCAGAGGGAGCCCGGCGCTGGATTAAAGTAAAACCGCTATGTTTTCCTGAAACTATAGTGATCCTTTAAAGGACAAACATGTTTCTGCATCAGGGTTAATAAAATATATTTTAAATTGACTATATTTATAATGTATAATTTGTTAAACAAGTGTGATCATACCGAGCATACTATATATATTTATTTACACTTTCCTTACAGGTATGAGCGATTGGAAGAGCAGCTTAATGACCTGACTGAGCTTCACCAGAATGAGATGACCCTTCTGAAGCAGGAGTTGGCCAGCATGGAAGAAAAGGTTGCATATCAATCATATGAGCGGGCAAGGGACATTCAGGTGGGGAGATGAGGGAGCTAAGTGTCTCCATATTGGTTCCCTGTCAGACATTGTTATAAGCGCTACTGTTTTATATGATTGAACATTAATATGAAGGTAAAAACGTAGAAATAATAATTCTGTGTCTTCTCCAGTTAAACGTGTGCCCTGACTGTGCCTGGACTGAACTAGATTGTAATGTCAGTTGCTAAATCTGAAATAACGTTTTAAAATAAATATAAGCGTGAACACTAAAAACATGGGGGAAAAATGGTTAACACAAGTTACCTGTGATATTTAATGCTTTATTCAGTGATACAATTTCCAGAAAAGTGAGAAGTCATCTGCTTTATCGTTACTTACTCAGCTGATAATAAAATCATAATGATTTGCTCAATTTCTCATTTCTTTCCTTACTCCAAATTGAGAAACAAAAGAGAAAGTGAGCTAAATATCAGAAAACGTTCCTAACAGGGGTTTACCCTCAAATTGAGATCAACAAAATAAACAAGAGCTGGAGTGTTAACTACAGGTGTATATATCATGCTCCTGCAGTTTCGCCGTTTAGTTCCCTGCCATTTAGGAGTTAATCACTTTGTTTATACAGCCCTAGTCACACCTCCCTGCATGCAACTTACACAACCTTCCCAGGGCCTGACTGGCCCACCGGGATACCGGGAAATTTCCCGGTGGGCCGTCGGCACCTGGGGCCGGGCAGCCAGCTGGCTCACCTGCAGCCGCAGAGGGCGCTCCTTTGGCGGCCGCAGGGTTTGCTGGCTGTTGTGTCTCTGCTCCCCCTCCCCAGCGCGCCGCTTAATGAGACCGTCATATTCCGGCCCCGGTCTCAATAAGCGGCGCGCAGGGGAGGGGGAGCAGAGACACAACAGCCAGCTCCCCCTGCGGCCGCCAAAGGAGCTCCCTCTGCAGCCGCCAGCCGCCAGTCCCCACAGGTAGAAATTGTGTGTGTGTGTGTTTCATTTGTGTGTGTCTGTCTGTGTCATGGTGTGTGAGTGTGTCACTGTCTGTCATGGAGTGTGTGTCTGTGTCATTGTTTGTGTCTCTGTGTCCTGGTGTGTGTGTCACTGTCTGTCATGGTGTGTGTGTGTGTGTGTCACTGTCTGTCATGGTGTGTGTGTCTGTGTCATTGTGTGTGTCTCTGTGTCATGGTGTGTGTCACTGTCTGTCATGGTGTGTGCGTTTGTGTCATGCAATGTGTGTCTGTCATTGTGTGTGTGTGGGTCTGTGTGTGTCATGGTGTGTGTGTGTGTTTGTCTGTGTCATGTAATGTGTGTCTGTCTGTCACGGTGTGTGTGTGTCTGTGTCACGGTCTCTCTGTGTCGTGGTCTGTGTGTCACGGTCTGTCTGTGTCATGGTGTGTGTGTCTGTCTGTGTCACGGTCTGTGTGTGTCATGGTGTGTGTATGTGTGTGTGTCTGTCTGTGTCATGGTGTGTCTGTCATGGTGTGTGTGTGTTTCTGTCTGTGTCACGGTCTGTCTGTGTCATGGTATGTGTGTGTGTATGTGTGTTTTTACTCACTTTTTTTTTTCCCACGTCATGCTGGTCTCCCCTCGCCCTGCCTCTACGGCTGAGATCATCAAGCTTGATGATCTCAGCCAATCCGCACTGACACAGGAAGCACCTCTAGTGACCGTCTGAGTGTCTGTCACTAGGAAGCAATGTAAACACTGCCTTTTCTCTAAAAAGTCAGTGTTTACATTGAAAAGCCTGCAGGGACAGGCTATAGACACCAATACCACTACATTAAGCTGTGTGTGTGTGCGCGCGCTTGCTTGTGTGTTTGTGTGTGTGTGTGTGTGTGTGTGTGTGTGTGCCTGCTACTGAGTGAGCTTGTGTTTTTATGTCAATAACCTTATGTATGAGGCTGTGTATCAATCCGCTTGTGTCAGTGAGATTGTCTGTGTATGCATGTGAGTATGCTTACTGTATAATTAAAAATTTTACTCTGAAAGGACCAATATTTTATATTGGAAAAAGCTATATATATATGTATATGTGTATATGTGTATATGTATATGTGTGTATATATATATATATATATATATATATATATATATATATATATATATATATGTATGTGTATATATATATATATATATATATAAAATATTGCCAGAGATAGCACTCCAAGGACTAATATAAAATATAACTTTTATTACCTTCAATAAAACAACACAAGGTCAACGTTTCAGCTTGATCCCCTCAAGCTTTCGTCAGGAGGTGTCCTGACGAAAGCTTGAGGGGATCAAGCTGAAACGTTGACCTTGTGTTGTTTTAGTGGAGGTAATAAAAGTTATATTTTATATTAGTCCTTGGAGTGCTATCTCTGGCAATATTTTTTGCATTTTTGGCTGACAAGCACCGGGCATTGAATATTGAATTGGTGGAGTGCAAGATCCGTTTGGTTTTATATATATATATATATATATATATATATAATCTATCTCTATATATCTCTATATATATAATCTATCTCTATATATCTCTATATATATAATCTATCTCTATATATCTCTATATATCTCTATCTCAATCATCTAGGGTTGCAAGACATAGTCTTACATATTACATGCGACAATATATGGCGCAATGACTTATGGGGCTGGCATAGATTTTTTTTCCAGGGCTGCTTTGGAATCCCCAGTCCGGCCCTGAACCTTCCTAAATACTTCCTGTAAAGAGCCATCTAAAGTTTGCAAATTCTGTTTAATTTAGAATTTCTTATTTTCTGCTGTTACTAACCCTTTAAAGCATGCAGGAGCCTTCTGGGTGTGATTAAAGTTTACATAGCAGGACATATACGCGTTTAGAGTAAGTTACATCTGATTGAAAATGAAACCATTTTGTTTTCATGCAGGCTGTGTCAATCACAGCCACGGGAGGTTTGTTTAGGGTTCAGTGGACAGAGACAAAAGTGATTTAACTCTAAAAGGGCAGAGAATTGAGCAGTGAGACTTCAGAGGCATTATCTATACACAAAATGTGCTTAATTAAGCTAAAGTTATTTTGGTGACTTCTGTGCCCCTTTTAACTTTCATTTACACATTTCATAAAAATGTAAACATCCACTAATGAAGAGAAAACAAAGAAAACTAAATTAGTATTGCTTTAGTGGAGTATCACCTTAATAATGATATGAAATGAAAAACCTCCCATTGCATAATATTAGTGTACCCTGGTGTCCAACAGACTCCTACAAAATGGATGGCTTATATGTGCCAAATACAGAAAAGGCAAATCATAGTAAAAGGGCATATCTCCTAACTGGAAATCCATATGAAAGATGAGTGCTAATGTTCTGATTCAAAAATGTGAAGTCAATACTGTTTAAATCACTTAATCAATACTATTTTTGTTTTCTTTTGTCTTCATTAGTGGTTGTTTAGATTTTATGAAATTTGGAGGAAAAAAAAATTAAGTTTTAATCAACATTATATATATTTTGCTTTCCTACCACCTCTAGCTAACACTCCTGCTCTTGTTTATTTTTTTTCCTTACTTAATCTCCATTTTCTCTTCTTCATTTACCTCTTTTATTGTCTCTGTTCGTGTCATGCACCAGATTAACACTCTGTCTCCCTTTCAGGAAGCTGTTGAGTCATGCCTCACCAGGATCACTAAGCTGGAATTACAACAGCAGCAACAGCAAGTTGTCCAGCTGGAGGGGGTAGAAAACGCCAATGCCCGAGCACTGCTGGGCAAGTTCATCAACGTGCTGCTGGCCTTGATGGCTGTGCTGTTAGTGTTCGTGTCTACGGCAGCCAGTTTTATCACACCGCTGGTCAAAACACGTGTACGCCTTCTTTCCTCCCTTCTTTTCGTCCTCTCACTTCTCACACTATGGAGAAACTGGGACTGTGTTTCTTACTGCCTAGAACATATTCTCCTACCAAGCTGAGTCCCTCATACCACCCCTTCTAATGACTCAATTCTGCATCCATATCCCACTTACCCCACATTAACGGGATGAGAGACATTGGGGAAGTGCTGGTTAGCACACTTAAAATATATATATCTATATCTATTGACATATACTTATAGATATATATATAGATAGATCTATTTATGCATATATTGATGAACCTATATAGAGCGTCTTGTTACTATAGGGGCCACTAATTGTCTATCGTGCTCCCAACTGAAGAAAGAAGGAGCCTACAGAGCAATGTGGATATTAGTTATAGACTAATGCTCTGAATAAAGTGAAATGACATAGCAACCGTAGAATGGGTAATACTTACGTGTATTATGTAGGTGTCGACACAATGTAAAGGTCTGTATTAGAGGGAGAGATATAGTGGAGTAACCTGAATTACAATATCTACTATTCCTCTAAGAATCGAAAAAGTATAATGCCGTGCTTCAAAGAAAATCATTTTCTGAGTATGCCATACAAAGTATTATGGGAACCAAGGCTTTGCACATTTTGAGTCAGCTGCATGGATTGACAGACTCAGAAAAACCCAAAATCCACCTTCTGTCTTTTATATGACTCAAAAAGATTACATTGCAATCTACCCTTAAGGTACAGACGTTAAGAGTATAAAGATGTCCTGTAATGAGGAGGGTTTGGGGAGCTGAGGATTGTTGGGGGATATAGCTCTAGCAATCAGGACGGCTTCTCTTTTCTGACCATGTGCATTTTTACTCCGTATGGTAAGCTAATGAATTTATTACTCACATAAAGGCTGCTGGTAAGTATTCCGTGGCATGAAGGTGAGCTGAAAGGGATTTGCAAGTAAGATGGAGATGGCAGAACGGTGCTTATATTACAAATGTAATTAATTATAATTTACATGCAATAAATATGAGATGCTTCTGTGTTGGTTAACACGGTGTGGCATCGCTGGCTAGTTTGCAAAAAATGGAATGGCAAGATGGCGGTCAAACCATTCCTTTTTCCTGCACTTGTGCTCAAATTCTTAAATTTACACTATTTTTGGATAGATATACGTTATCTGTCCTTTTATTTATTTATTTTATCTATAGCGCACATAACTGTGATCGAAGAAATGTGTTGATTTCTACTTGCGTGGTCTGGCAAGTTGGGCAGCCGTTAATTGATTCTGACTGCTATTAAAAACAATCTTGCAGTACTTAAAATGGTTGTCTTTCCAGAAGGTGAATAGGCCTTTCAACATGCACTTTTTATTATATTTTTTTTTATATATCATATATTAATATTTTAATTACCAGTTGGATGATAGGGCATTCCTGTACCATCAAAGAATGAGCAGAGTTTTTAACAGCCCAAAAAATACTGCACTCCATATCACATGCCTGCGTGAAGCTCTTTAATTTGATTAGATTTATTTTTTCATCAATAAATGTACATATGTGGAGAGTTCTCTATCAAGAATTGACATATACGCATCATATCATATGTTAGACTGACATTGAGCAGTCTGTTCCATCCTCACGGCTGGTGGGATTGGTATTATGATCTATGTAATACAGCATTTTGGTGGGAATGTAACCCACGTTTTCTGATTTTTCCCAGTTATTGGTGACCTCCTGTATCACATGGCAAGATTTCATTTTCTTGCTTATGTGCAAATAAAATTTACACGTTTGAAAAAAATATATAGAGTTTCTGTTTTGTCTGTTAAAGATTATATTAATACTTCAAGTCATGGGCAATATTTGCTACTTCCTGTTCTGTAAATGCAACATTAAATGATCTTGTTCTGTTTTTCTGTAAATGAAGTGCAATTCATGAAAAATAAGTTTCAAGGGAAAATAATTTCCATACCTGTAGCCTAAGGAATAAATATCTCTTCAGATAGTGCCTGTAGTATTGCTAGTTTAAAGTGATATTCTAAGCTCCAAAACAACAGTAGTTTAATGAAGCAGTTCTTAGGAGTTAAATTGCTTTGTTTATCCAGTCCCAGTCACTCCTCCCCTGCATGTGATCCACACATTTTCCTTAAACATTTCCTATAAAGAGAGATCTAATGTCTAAACGTCCTTTATTGCACAATTTGTTGGAACAGAATAAGAGAACTGTGGAAAAATTGCAGGTAGATCAAGAAGTGTCACATTACTCCATGTCAACCTTAGCTCTCAAGTCTGATCACGGCAGGCACCACAGATAGCCGCAGAAGATGTACTGGAAAGCAAGTTTGTTTTGTCCACAGGATGGAGATTATAACTATAAGGCAAATAAAGGATGCGTTCAAACTGAATATTTTTTGATTGACTTATTCATAACGACCTGTAAATATTATAGGTTTATTGAATGCAAAATAAATAAAGATCCAACGCAACATATATAAAGATACCTAACCCAACACATATTCTGTATTACAAGGGACATCATTTAATCTAGAAAATGTCCCAACTTCCACCTGTATGCTTTTGTATTGGGAAGAGTATGTCTAAGTGGGGAAAATAAAACTAGCCTGTGCAGTTTATAAAGGTCTATAAGGGTAATGCAAAAATAAGTAAATGTTTAAGGCAAAGAGAGTTTTTTTTTTTAACACAAAAGCAAGTTCTACTAACAATCCAAGATACAGCCCTTAAAGGACCACTCTAGGCACCCAGACCACTTCAGCTTAATGAGGTGGTCTGGGTGCCAGGTCCAGCTAGGGTTAACCCATTTTTTCATAAACATAGCAGTTTCAGAGAAACTGCTATGTTTATGAATGGGTTAAGCCTTCCCCTATTTCCTCTAGTGGCTGTCTCATTGACAGCCGCTAGAGGCGCTTGCATGCTTCTCACTGTGATTTTCACAGTGATAGCACGCCAGCGTCCATAGGAAAGCATTATGAATGCTTTCCTATGTGACCGGCTGAATGCGCGCGCAGCTCTTGCCGCGAGTGCTCATTCAGCCGACGGGGAGGAGAAGAGGAGGAGAGCTCCCCGCCCAGCGCTGGAAAAAGGTAAGTTTTAACCCCTTTCCAGAGCCGGGCGGGAGGGGGTCCCTGAGGGGGGGGCACGAGTATGTTTTCCTGGCACTATAGTGGTCCTTTAATATGTGGAAATTAAGACTCTCATCTGTTTCCATGTACACAAATGCCAAGGTACCTAGTGAATATTTGGAACATATCTGTGTTATGTGGTCTACAAATATTTTTGTAACAGCCAGGAATCTGGTGAACTCAAAGCTTGATCTTAAGTGTATTCTGTGTCCTTTGAGCTTATCTGGAATGGGTGGTCAGTTTCAGTTCTTCGAGATACCAATAATTTTCTTAATGGGGGATTTTTACAATTGAATCTTGGTACGCTTACACTTACGCTTAAAGAGTTACTCCAAGCATCATAACCACCACATCTCGATAAAGAATGGTTTGCCCTCTTACCTGGGCCCCAATGTGTAAATCATTAAAGTGATCATGGTGCTTGGAAAAACTCTTTAAGGGTTAACCATGGCTTCTGACTATCCAGTACAACTTGGTTCATAATTTAAGTGTTTTTCAAGAAACAATATGGAACTGCACTCTAAGCCAGGGTGCAACCAAACAGGGACTCAGCGTCAGGTCCCAATAACAGTATGTAGAAAGTACAAGAAGGTTTAGGCACTCCAAGGTTCAGAAACAGCAATTTATTGAATTCCAGTCTCACACAATGTTTTGACCTACGCGGTCTTTGTCAAGCTTGAGTGCCTAAACCTTCTTGTACTTTCTTCATAATTTAAGTGTGACATTCAATAAGTGTCTTCTTAGGATCTATAGAATGTTGTTGAACCCACAGGGTTATTCACTGATGTGAGAATTCAAATTTAAGGCCAGAGTAGGCAAACTGAATGCATAGCTGACTTATAGAATTTTTCCAATTTGGCTAATATGACCTTAAATATGAAAATAACCAAATTCACTTCATATTCTCATTTTTTGTAAATAACCCTGTGAGTTTTTTCTTTGATATCTTACCTCAATTAAAAGATGCTCCAGACAGTTTCTTCATCTGAGGTATGAGTACTCTATAAGGTACAATTAGTTTACCCCATATTTGGTTTTTTTAAATACCTTTACTGGCATTTGATGGGACGTGTTGTTATTAGAGATACTACAATGAAGGATGAGTATTAGGGACACGGTCTTACTTGTGCAAAAAAAGAAAGAACGAAATCTGAGAAACAATGGGTTATGATCTCTACATTATTAAACTATTGTGTGACACTGTAAGAGTTATTCCCTAAAGTGAGAATTCAGAGTGGATTGTTTTTAGCCAAACTTTCCACTCAGCTACTCTGACCTTATATTTGAAATTCACTGTGAACTCTCACTTCAGTAAATAATACTGTGTGAATGGAAGGATACCGAAGATATTACCCAGGCTGCTTGAGGTTGATGGGATTTAGACTCACAGCTGTCACCATTATTCGACCCCTCTCCTGTTAGTAAAGTTAGAGGAGAGGGAGGGACACAATCACATCAACTCAATGACAAGAAGAAAGCACCACAGCACCATACTGATGGTGTAAGTCTATTCAGGGAAATGCCACCCCATTAAACATTAAAAAAAAAACTCCCACTGCCAAATATGGTCGGAACCACATACAATTTGCCATCCCCAACATGGTGACGCATCCGATTTCGGACAGGAGTCTTTCCCATCCCATTATGATCTCTGTGCATACTTCCTTAGATTCTTCACAAATGGCCGATACGTCATTTTCTGTGGCATGAAATCCTTTTGCAGCCGTCACGTCCGAAGTACTTCAGAATTAAGTTTATTCAATGCTATAGAGAACATCCAGAAGTCCTAAAACGCCAATATACTTATGTGCAAGAGCTCATAGTCCATATTATATGTCAAATAAAAACGACAGACGGAAGAACAAGGAGTAAAATGTTAGTTTTGTTTTGTTTTTTTTAAATAGCAACAATAGAAGACTTATTTTTAAAAGAGAAATCCAATATATCTTAAAACACTTTTTTTTTAATTATGAACATTATTATAAAATATTTTAAGTGTAATTAGTGAAAACACTAATGGTTTTTTTAGCTGCACCAGGTTGATATTATATAACTGCCTCCCCCCTTACTGTTTTTAATTGTATAACCCATTAAACAGGTATGCATATGCTGTGGATTCTTCTTGCCCAGTAGTGTGATGATGTGAACCATGATGATTGTGCATGTGCTTAAGGTCCGTTATGTTTCTATGCAAAACAAATCATAATAACTGATGACTTCAAGGAAGGCAGAGCTGCAACAGAGAAGAAATTGTCCCGGCACTGGAATAAATATTCAACTGTGTTTTTTGAAATTACTTTTATTTTACAACAGAGAGGAGGTGGCAGTCGTTTATGCAAAAATAGGAACACAAACGTAAAAAAAAAAAAAATACATATATTTCAAAATAAAGGTCTGTATGTGCATTAATGTATATATTATTATTATTTATATAGCACCATCAGATTCCGTAGCACTGTACAATGGGTGGACTAACAGACATGTAATTGTAACCAGACAACTGGACGTACAGGAACAGAGAGGTGGAGGCCTGCTCCATGAGCTTACATTCTAGAGGGAATGCGGTACGAAGTAGGTTGTTAGAAAAGTATTCACTGAGGGCTTAGTAGGTAATTTTTGACAGTTGCAGGAGAGGAGTCATGGGGTGTGGGGGTATATGTTGTATTCCACACCAGCTGACATGCTAGAAAACAGACAACCTCTTGTACTCCAGCTGCCATCTACCATCTCCTGCATCTTAAGACATCTAAAAATCAGATCTTTGTTTTCCTGTAGGTTTAAAGCTACTACTAAACTGGTCACCAGCATAACCCTAAACTTTGGTTGGTATGGAATTCACACAAGTGAACTGGGCTTGGGGGAGGTTCTGTCGTTAAAAAGGGGCATGTCCGTGCTATGCTGAAGCATTAGATTGGCTCACATAATCAGTACTGGTGATCTCAGCGTGAGAAGTAGAGGCAGTAATGAAAACGCTTGAAATCCTGTTATTGCATATCTTCCGGGGTCCCATATTTTTACTGGTTAAGACAACACTGTAGCATTAGGAATACAATTTATCTTTGTTAAAGGACCACTATAGTGCCAGGAAAACACACTCGTTTTACTGGCTCTATAGGGTCTCTAGGTCCCCCCCACCCTCAGGGCCCACCTCCATATCGCTGTCATCGGCTGAATGCGCGCGCTTTCCTATGGACGCTGGCGTCTTCTCACTGTGAAAATCACAGTGAGAAGCGTGGAAGCGCCTCTAGCGGCTGTCAATGAGACAGCCACTAGAGGCTGGATTAACCCTAAGGTAAACATAGCAGTTTCTCTGAAACTGCTATGTTTACAGCAAAAAGGGTTAACCCTAGCTGGACCTGGCACCCAGACCACTTCATTAAGCTGAAGTGGTCTGGGTGCCTATAGTGGTCCTTTAAGCTACAGTGTTCCTTTAACAGCTAGTAATACATTTAGAGAGCCTTGCTAGACGCCTTTTTATTATTATTATTTTATTATTTATATAGCGCCATCACATTCCGTAGCGCCGTACATTGGGTGGACTAACAGACATGTCATTTTAACCAGACAACTGGACGTACAGGAACAGAAAGGTGGAGGGCCCTGCTCAATGAGCTTACATTGACCTAGATCCATGATTTCAGCCATCCAGATCACTTGAATGCTTTCAAAACCAGTTACAATATCATTCAATAAAATTACTCTGGTATCTTGTAGGCACTAGTAACAAATTGGTTAAACACTACTATCCCCTCCTTTTAGAAGGCTATTGTCAAGATTGAGATGGATAAAGAATAAACTAATATCACTAGTCTACTACTCACACAACTCTTCTGAAAAGAATTGGTCTCCATGGGGTAATTACAAGGCTTAGCAATTACCTTCACAGGTTCCCCATCATCACCTTTCATGGTGGACCTTTCCCTCACCCCTTCTCTCTTCCACTCTTTTTTCTTTTTCCATAATTATTTAAGTAAGTTAGCAATAATCTCTGATCTTTTCTCAAACTAATTATTATTTTTTGCACCTTATGTTGAGCAAGGAATACAAAGTTCTATTCCCAAGACTATACTTCCCTCTAGCCAATCCCCCCTCTGGTAGTGTAAGTGATAATAAACCCTTACATTACTCACCTGATTTCAGCGCCGATGTCCCTCTGCATTCCGACTCTCCAACAGGGAGATTGTGGGGTTAATGTGCTGCAATGCTTTCCTTTGGGGAAATAGCTGGCAGAGCAGAGCGTGAGGACCTC